CAGGTTTGCAATTCAATCTTTCCTGTGTTATCTGATGCTCCAATGCTAGCAACTTGTTTGGATAAGAAGTGGAAATCAATAGAACCTCCGTTTTGACTTGTTAAAATAATAATAATAATAATAATAATAATAATAATATTGGTGAGTATTAACCTCCACATGCTAGATTGTGATGCTTGTTACTTCTGACTAAGTCTTGATTCATTTTCTGGACTGACAAGAAGAATTTTTTTTTTTTAAATGCACACTGTGGTTCATGAACCTTGGTAGAAAATGTCCATTTCAATGCCATATGAATTCCTGTTGTATGTTTACTACTGGGGACCAGGAGCTTAGTCTGGATTGGTTCAGGGACCATCCTGATCATGGTTTTTTTGCAGGCCATGCTGAAGACCCCATCTGGTGTTGTTGATGTCTGGTTCAAGTCCTTCGACAGGACAGCTCAAGTAAAGCCCCTTATATTGATAAAGAGAGAGGTGGACAAGTGTCCCCTTTCCAGATTCTACATAATCTGGAATAGATAATGAATCATAGTGATATAAAATTTTAGTTATTGAAATGGTCCCCTTTAGTTAGCTAGCTGCTATATGTTCGTGTTGTCTATTTATGCTCTGTCTTTGTGTATTGATAATAAACCAAATCCAATTGGAACTATCTCCTCCAATGCCTTAAGAAAGCGCACGACATATAAGTTGGATTATGAAACGCAGAAAAGTGAGATATTTTGATATAGCTTAAGAGCAGTAAGTGAAATTTAACTTAAAAAAAATGCTCAGAGCCTCAAAAAGTTGAATTATACAAAGTACTTGGGGCCAATTTGACAACACTTTTTTCCAAAAAAAAAAATAATAATTGTAATAAAAAATAAAAAAAAAATTGGCAACCCTTTTTTTTCATTTTTTTTTGCCAAATTTGTGAAAAACAAACCGAGTGAGCAAAGCACGTTTATTATGTTTTGCACAATACTACATTTACGGACAAAAAAAAGTCCAAATCTTAAAATAAAAAAAATAAACAAAAAAAAAACACGCACACACACAAAAAGCAAAAACTTAAGGAAAATAATAAAAAAGAAAAGAAGTTATTTTCACTTGTTTTTGCTACTCTAGCTAAACAATAGGAGCGATAATTTTTAAAATAATCAATATATATGATGTAAATACCAATTTTATTTTTTAATTTTTACTATCTTTCAAACATTTTTTCTTCTCATTTATTTATTTTTAAACTTTGAAACATCGTGAAACAAGTTAGTTACCAAAAATGCTTTTGTTCTCAAATAAATTATGGCTCAACAAAAACATTGTTTTTACTTCATATGAAATCGAAAAATGCAAAACAAAAGTGGCTGCCAAATAGGCTCAAAGTGACTGATTTTGTATTGTTGTTACTGCATTTATATATATGACAACTATCATTTTGATTTCAGCTTGAGAGAAAAAGCGAGGAGCCATGTGAAATAATTAGGGTTTGGTTGTTTTGACATTGAGAAAAAGTTTTCAAGATAAGAAATATGTGGGTGGCTCTTAGAGTCACATAATCTTATCTACACACACAAAAATATCATGTAAAAGGCCAATTTGGAACGCTACTAATAATTGATCTTGCATGTGATGTTAGTGCCACATTCAGACAATTCAGTGTCAATTAAAGATGATGTTATGTTCATCTCCAAACCAAAACACTTGTCTGCTTTTGATTAGGAAGGATCGAAATGTGGTGAAAAGTCTTGTGATATCCTATATGGTTTTCCGAATCTTTATTTGTGGACTTGGTTAAGACATGTAAATGTCATGAATCATATGTATAGATATAAAAATTACTCCCGGGAGATAATGACAAGCTTTCTAAAATTTCGTACTTCTTCTGTCTCATAAAAAGTGTTATGTTTGGAGAACCGTGAGACTTACAACTTGACACTTTCTATAAGAAGGAAGAAGAACTATGAATCATGTTACAATTTACATCAACTCTAACGAAAGGATAACTCTACGAATTAATTTTCTTTTCTAATTAAATTTACAATTTACACCAACATACCTGCAAGAGCACATATGCACTTAAATGCATTTCAAGCACTTAAAGCAAAACAAAAATAGCCACCGAAACTTTTACTTCCATTATGGTGGGACTCAAGAGTAGACTCCACCACAATACTAGGCTAAAAGGATAATTCTATAAGGTCGACCGAAATTTTTGTATCTATAAAAAATGTATAATGGTGGGACTCAGAGTGGATTCTATCACAATGCATTTCACAGATGCAAGGGTTTCAATAAAAGACTACGATTGGAGCCTTTTGCTCAAATATCATGATGCAAGGGTTTCAATAAAAGACTTCGATTGGAGCCTTTTGCTAAAATATCATGATTTGAGGGTGGGACTCGGAGTGGATTCCACCGCAATGCATCTCACTGATGCAAGTGTTTCAACAAAAGACTTAGATCGGAGTTTTTGCTTAAATATCATGATTTGAGGTATCATTTAACTTTTTATGGATCCACTTTAAAGATTAGGAGGTTTTTCAACTTATAGAAGTACCAAAGCTCTTGAAAGGATCCAAAATTGTGAAAAATACTACATGGGACCTTAGACAATTACCCTCCTCTTTGGAGATTAATTTACATCCTCTTAAACAATAACCCTCAAGCATCTAAGGCAACATCCAATGGTTAAGAACGTATCATGAGATCACTTTTGTTGGAATTTAGTGAAAAAAAAAAAAAAAAACAACAACAACAACTAGATGTATCACAACTCACATATTGGAACTTTATTAAAGAGTAAAATAAACCCAAAATATAAAGGGCAAAGAGTTAGAAAAAGGAATAAATTATCTTGAACTTTTTAATAAAGACAAAAAAAACTAAATGTATCACAACTCACAAGTCAAATCGATATGAATTCATAGTACGGTTAGGCAGGAAGGTAGAAAATTAGTTTGGTGAGAAGCAAGAGAAGAGAATTGAATGGAGAGGGAAAAATAGAGATCAATTAGATATTTAAAGAAGAGATTGTGTCTTCTTTTTCTTTTTCTTTTTTTTGGATGAAAGTAAAGCCAATGCAATATTATCTTATTTTGTTTATTAAGAGTGGAAGAACAAAGTGTGTTAATTATAAGGATAATTTTATAATTTAAAAACTTCTATAATAACTTACTTTTCTTGCTTTTATGTCTTAAATCCGTATTTGGAGGGATAAAAATTTATGAAAGATAATGATGACTCGTTGATTCTCCTGTCTCTTCCTTCTTGCCTCCTCTTTATCAAGTGAAGAAAAAAAAAAAAAAAAAATTTGCCTCCACCCTCTTCCTTACTTTCTACCAAATGAAACATAAGTGACTGACCTCATACACACACACTATACACACACACACAAAATAAAAATCCACAGTATTTGACTAACGTGAGTTTGGGTGATTGCACCCAAACTTGTTCTACTACAGCTTTTTATAAGAAGGTTGTACAATCATTTTCTCTGATAGATCAAGATTGAAGCTTGTCTAGACATATCATTTTATCATCTTCAACTATTCTCTTTTCTTCAATTACACACACACGTGTCTTAATGAATTTGGTCCCTTTCTTTCTACTTTGTATTTTAATTTCTGAAAAGTTGTTCATTGTAGACATTCTTCATGCATTTCGAATAACTTTAAAAAAATAATAAATAAATAAAAGATTTGCATGCATAATGTTAGGATTTCTTTTTTCCTTCTCTTCTATTGTTAAAATTAAGCTCATCTTTAAACTTGAATCATCTAACTTTTTTCATTTAAAAAAGAAAAAAGAACAATTCCTTACCCCCATCAAATTCCCTGTTCTGAATCTTAATCTTCTAATTAAGTTGCCCTAGGGTCAACCTTATGTCAAGTCTTTCACTTTAATGTTGTAACAATTCTTGTTAATGCACCATCAAATTTTCAAATTGTGATTATAATTTGTATTTAAAATGGTTGGAAATTTTTGAGTTAACTTCTGTTATTTTTCTTTATTTCCTTTCCTTCTACTCTCTTTTTTTAGTACTAATGTTGAAGACTATAGCTAATTCTTATAGACACAAACAATCACCCCCAGACCATATTCATCTTATAAGTTTTGCAACACTAGTGGAGACGGTGAACAACAAATTTCAGCCGCGAGAAAGTACACCATTGAAAATAGAAAAACTCTAAAGTTGTCAAGGAGCGACAATTGACAGTTTTGTGTAATTTTAGTTATCGTCAACGGTATCACCAATTTTTCTCTTTTGATTGTCATCAGTCGTGGAACCCATGACTATCTAATTTTTTGTTTTTTGGCATTCGTTTCATACCGGACTCCCTAAAATATCATACCTGAATGGGAAATTTTGTCATGGCCCTATGATGGCAGAAGTTCATCAAACATATCTCAACTCTAAACCCACTAGTGCATTATCAAAGATAAAAGACTGGAATGTAGCTTCCGAGTTTCGAGCTCGAGTTGAATTCACATAAAAGTATTCCAGCTCAAGTTTAGTTCGTTTTGTTAATTTCAATTCCAATTCCAATCTTGAGTTTGTAACTAGAATTTTATTTTTAAAAAATAATAATTACAAATATAATAAAAGAGTATATTTATGAATCTTTAAATTCATTTGCATAAATTTGATTATAAACAAGTTAATAGATCTAACAAGTATTTTCAACTCCCTCATTTATCAAACAAGATTAAAAAAAAAGGAGCTCAAATTTTGTCAGGCCTGCAGGGAAATGTGGACGGTTCTATACCCACCTATCCATTGAAATAAGCAAACATGAGAATAGGAGGACTAAACGTTACATTTTTTTACGTTCTTTGACACTGACTTATAATTAATGGATCAAAATTAAATAACATAGCCACGAATTGTCAAAAGGGTTGGTGGGTCTTGGTCCCCTGCTGCATTGGGCTTCAAGTATCCCTCCAAAAAAAAAAAATCTCTCTCTAGAACTCTCTCTCTTTCTCTCCCAAAATAATACGTAGTAGCCAATTATGTGGTCAATATAAAATCGTACCAATACTGTCACTGAAAAATTAGAAGAGTTCTTGAGCTAGGACAAATCGTGAGATAAATTACAGAGAGATAGCATATATATATACTTACACAGCATGTGGGCTCCTTTGATTCTTGTCTATATATGAAGACAGATAGAGATAGAGATAAGAGAGAGAGTATTTAGCATTATTTGTGCAACTTCTATATATCATTACAGCACCATTTACTAGCTAGCCTAATGGAGAGTGATAAGAGCAATGGAGAGTGTCATGACATTGTCAATTGGTTCGAAGATGTGGCGGAGAACGCCGGCGCAGTCCAGACACGTACGCTTCGCCGGATTCTTGAACTGAACTCCGGCGCGGAGTACCTCAAGAAATGGTTTGGAGGGATGGCTATTGAAGAGTTGGATGAGAGTGCATTGGAATCGCTTTACACCTCTTTAGTCCCTCTTGCCTCCCATGCAGATTTGGAGCCTTGCATTCAGAGAATTGCTAATGGGGACAAATCTCCTTTGCTCACTCAACAACCCATCACCACTCTCTCACTAAGGTATATATGCCCCTTCACATTTTATCTCTTTTTTAGTTTCATGAAACTCAATACATACATTCATATTGCTCCATTGTGACCGGGGAGATAGGGGTTCGAAATTGAAAATAGTCTCTCCAAGAGAAAGTAAGTTTGCCAAGTTCTTCTAATCCTTCCCAAATTCTATAATGATGGGACCTTATGCACTGGGCCATATATTCACATGGGTGTGTATCAATCAAAACAATGAAGAAATAAGAGTATTTTTCTTTTTTTCTTTTTTGTTTTTTTCCGATTCTTTCTTCTCTTGCTCTACGTGGTACATCATAGCAGTTTTGTATTTGTTAGCTTGTTGCAGGAAGGCCTATATGTGGAAGGCCTATGTTAGATGGTTAGATAATAACCATTAAACATTGAGAATTGAAATATAAATAAGAATGTTTTTTCTCATTGAATTGTAAAGTTGTTTTTGATTTTTTTCCGCTTCCATTGATTGTTTTTTGATTGTTTTGATGCGGTTTATGATGAAACTATAGTTCCGGAACCACAGAAGGAAGACAGAAGTACGTACCCTTTACCCATCATAGCTCCAACACCACTCTTCAAATTTTCAGATTGGCAGCAGCTTATAGATCAAGGTTCAAGCCCCCCTCTCTCTCTCTATAAAAAATAGTATAATCTCCCAAGTTCTTTTCGGGAAAATTCTTTTCAAGTGAAATCCAATGTCTGTGGATAGAGGCCGGAAACCACTAGACGTTGTAGAAATGACACCATGTGAACCCCACATGAAGATCATATCTGTTTTTCATCTACTAGTTGCATTGTTTAGTCGCCCTAAATTTTCGGCTTGTATAACATTGCTCTCTTCTCAATAATCAAAAATATCTTATGTCATACTTTTTAAAATTGTTTTTATCTTCTTTCTTGTAGGTTAAAGATTTTTATTTTTTTATTATTTTTTTTTTTATCGAAATTATTCTAAACTTCTTTTCCTTGGATGTTGATGGTCGTAGGGTTTACCCAATAAGGGAAGGAGGAAGGATCCTGGAGTTCATATACAGCAGCAAACAGTTCAAAACGAAGGGAGGTTTAACAGCAGGAACAGCCACAACCCACTATTTTGCAAGTGAAGAGTTCAAGATCAAACAGGAAAAAACCAAGTCATTCACTTGCAGCCCCGAGGAGGTCATTTCAAGTGGTGACTACAAACAATCCACATACTGTCACCTCCTCCTTGGCCTCTTCTTCTCTGATCAAGTAGAGTTCGTAACGTCGACATTCGCTTACAGCATAGTCCAGGCATTTCGGTCATTCGAAGAGCTCTGGAAAGAGATATGCAATGACATTAGACAAGGCACTCTTAGCCCAAAAATCACCTTGCCAAAGATGAGAAAATCTGTGTTGGACATCATCACACCAAACCCATGTTTGGCTTCGAGGATCGAAGATTGTTGTGAGGAGTTGAAGGATCTAGACTGGTTTGGTCTAGTTCCTAAACTATGGCCAAATGTGAAGTATGTGTACTCTATAATGACCGGATCAATGCAACCATACTTGAAAAAACTAAGGCATTACGCCTTGAATTTGCCGTTAGTGAGCGCGGACTATGGATCCACAGAGGGTTGGATTGGGGTGAATGTGGATCCTTCTTCTCCACCGGAGAATGTTACTTTCGCAGTTGTACCCACATTTTCTTACTTCGAGTTCATACCACTTCACAGACAGAGGCAAGAGTACTGCCTTAATTCAGCCACAGATGACTACTTAGAAGATGAACCAGTACCACTGTCTCAAGTCAAGGTTGGACAAGAGTATGAGATTGTCCTAACTACTTTTACAGGTATGTTAAATTAAATGAATTACTTAAATTAAATTCCTATTTCAATATATACTACCATATTCTATTTAATTTGTATACAATTCATACGCTTAATTTGATTGGTTATACATGTATGCAGACCAGTTCTATAACCTCACTTTACATGTTCACATTTCAAGTTACATTACTTAAAAAGTACATCGTTTTTGTCATCGACTGATGTGTCAATCATAGAGATAAAAGCTTTAGAATTCTACAAGAATTCAAGATATTAGGGATGGATTAAAAACAACCAAGAGTCCTTTAAAAAATAAATAAATAAATAAATCTGATAACATTATTTTGCTTTGAGAAATTTTTAGCCATGTGATTATTTGAATTTTCAATTATTATGATGGCAACAATAATTCCCATTATGAAGAAAAAGAAAAAAAGGGGCATGACATGTTTCCAATTAATGTATTGTTACTATTTTATCCTACAACAAGCCAATATGAAGTTTGGAATACATCGTGGACTGTCAATAATTTTAAGGACAGAAGATCTTAGGAAAAATCTAATTCCTTTTCAAGATTGATGATGCTCTTGTACATTTAAAGAAAGTAGGTTAGAAACTTATGAAACATGAACCATCACTGTCATTAATGGTTTATTGTTAATTATATGTGGACCTTATGGTAATGTTCAATTAATTGTGTAGTCACTGGTCACTATTAAATTCTTGTGCGGTTAATTTCTTTTGATTGTATATGTCATTTGATGCTGATTTCGATCTTCAACTAACTCACTCTCTCATGTCCTACGTTATGATCAGGGCTTTATAGGTATAGATTAGGAGATGTGGTGGAGGTGGCTGATTTTTACAAAGGAACTCCAAAACTGAACTTTATATGCAGAAGGAAGCTAATTTTAACTGTAAACATAGACAAGAACACAGAAAAAGACCTGCAGTTTGTGGTGGAGAGGGGATCGCAGATACTGAGCAAGGCGAGAGGCGAGCTAGTCGATTTCACGAGCCATGCTGACATTGAGAAGCAACCTGGTCACTACATAATTTACTGGGAGATCAAAGGGGAAGTGGAGGAGAGGGTTCTGAGTGAATGCTGCAGGGAAATGGATGCATCTTTCGTCGATCAGGGATACATTGTGTCGAGGAGAACCAACTCAGTTGGGCCTCTGGAGCTTTGCATTCTGGAGAGAGGGACTTTTAAGAAGATTTTGGAGTACTACATAGGAAATGGGGCAGCAATGAGCCAGTTCAAGACACCTAGGTGCACCAACAATCAAGTCCTGTTGAGAATTCTCAATGTCTGCACCATTAAGAGGTTCCATAGCACAGCATATGGATGAAAATGAGAAACTTTGGGAATATGTTTTATTTTTTTTTTTATTACTATTTTTTTTCTTTCCTAAAGGTAGTATGTTTAATTGTGGCATTAAACATTTTAAACCAAGAACATTGTAGTTCTCAAATGAAAGCAAAAGAAAATTGACATCCAAATTTGTTCTTTTATTGCTTTTTATTAGCAAGGATTAAAATTAGCATGGGCATTATTATCACCATGATGATACAAAATCACTGGTTAATTTGACTCTGCATCTTTCCTTCAACCAAAAAAATATAGAACTTTTTGGGACACCAACATACCACCCAATCTAACAACTGATCATTGATGATAAATTGCAGTGTTTGCACAAAAAGTTGTTTAACTGATAACCTAAATATACGAATCGATTTTGTATGGAACAGTTCGATTCTGATTCTAAAAATTTTTAAATACTTGAATCTTTGTAACCGATCTAGTCAGAATCGGACTGAATCATGCATGTGCACCCCTAGTATATATATATATATATATATATATATATATATATATTCTCTTTTTTTCGCCTACCCTTTGTCCCTGGCCTCACAAAAAAACACTACTTTTTGGACCGTCGCCTTTATTGAATTATTGATTATGCACTCGTCTCATCATGATACATATCACTTTCAAAACTAGCCTCAAATAATTTTTGGATCACACTTTTTCACTATGTTGTGTTTAACATTATTGATACAACCTTCTTTGTTTTTTTGTTTTTTTTTTTTTTTTTCTTTTTCTTGGTACTCACACACACTTGCCTCTTTTGAGATTTGAATTCCTAACCTTCCTTTGAAAAGTAAAAGCCTAATACCGCTAGACCACATTGATAGAGCATTTGACTGCATTATTGATACAATTGACATAGTAAGAAAAATTCTGACATGTGTTGCAATCATAAAGCAAGATAGAAAAGTTTGCAAATTAATGTTTTTGCAAGCTATAGCTAACTAAGATGATCATGCATTTGTTCTAAATATATACTACGTACAAGGCTAGTGGGTGGACAAAAGTACTGCGATGAGAATGATACCACTGTGTAAGAAAGAATTCCAATAGCAGTTAATTATGGTCGGTTGCAAATTTAGGTCATATGTAGTTCAATGCGTTTTGATTGACAATACAATAATTTTTATTATTAAGAAGTGCAACAATTTTAAATCAAAAGATATGTGTTGAATTTTTAATTAAAATAATATTACAACACAATATAATATAATATTTTACATGAGTGTTGCATATGTGATACGTATAAATATGTTGAATGAATATTAAATTGCTATACACAGACGGTTAAAAAATAGAAGAGGAGTAGGGATTTGGTGGTGTAAATGATGTAGCATTGCGGACAAATTGGTCTGATGTGGTACAGCATTTACATGATTCTAGTCCAGAAGAGAACGTGCCTAAGCTAGGATCCCGGCCGGTACACGAGAGAGGATTTGGATTCGTAAGTGGGAGCTAAAATGGCTGACCAAGAAGATGCTTTGTACGTACAACTCTGAATGCTCAATCAGAAATGAATCCACATGTTTATAGAACTTCACACAGGTTGTATATATTGCAGTAGTATATACTATATATATACACATATATCCTGCAGGGACAGCCTGACCCATCTCTAAAAGTGGGAACCGTTTTGCCATGCTGTTACCAACTATCTTATATATACACATGTATTATGTTGTACGTACTGCATCTGCAAGGGTCTCATCAAACTTTCACCCTATGAGACTTTATGGCGTCCACAACATAAACATTTGAGATATATTGGGATTATTGTATTCTTTAAATTACTGTTGATGAAGTGGGCTAAAGAAATACTTATGCTAGTATATTGAACCTCAAAATGCCTAGAGTCTTACTAGCTGTCGAATTCAGTATGATTATGACCAAAAAAAATTAAAAATTTGAAAAAAAAAATGTCAAATTTTAACATAATAGATGGGGACATCAAATTAACACCAAATTGTTTATAAAAACTTCTCTCTAAAAAAAAAAAAAATTTAAAAAAAAAAAAAAAAACCACACTTGCGCCGACCAAATTCATGTCTGTCAAATAAGATTTGATGTGCAGAAGAAAAGTGGCAACTCAAAAAGACTATGAAAATAAAGAAAGGTCATTTGATTGAAGGACGCTTTATGTCATGAGATTTATCTGTATCACTTATAAGTGCACGAATTTTTGTATATAAGGCTTACTTTTAAGGGTCTCGTATCTAAGAGACTCGTGTAAATTAAATTTGTCAACAGATTTTTTAAATTTCAAATTAACTTGAAAGTAATATAATTAAATTGTGATGGTTTATTCTAAATTAACTAAATATAAAAATAAAATAAGAACAATGATTAAATAGAAAGTAGAAAAGAGAGAGAACTAGGGGCATAACTTCACCAGTAACAACGGACTACCAGTTAATTGCATCAATTTATTAGAGATATATATATAACATGCATAAGAAATTAATCATAATTACAAGCACATATTAATTAAGTTAGAAGTTAATATAATTTAAAACTAAGCATGAACTATTTTCGATTGGCATAAAACATCTGCCTAACTACTTTACTCTAGGGCAGTATGATCTATCTTTTCTAGGCATAATCTATCAAATCTCTAATATTACGTTCAGAGAAAAATTATTGTGTAACCATCTCATTTACAACTACAATAAGTGAATGAGTTATGTTCAATCACAAGATTCAAATATTTAAGACAAGATAAGAAAACACTTTGTAATTGAATTCAAATTTTAAAACCGATTTTTATTGAAAAGTCAATTAAAAATCCTTTAGATTACACAATCATGCATGAATAATAATTGTTCTCCAATAAATAAATACAATCAAACTAGTGATATTAAGTTAGAGCTACATCACAACCCTAGCAAAGTGTTTAGCCAAGCATGACTAGAGTGGAATTTTTCATGGATGAAGAAGACATCTTCACCACCATAGATTGATCCCTTCTTGCTTCTGAATGATTCTCTTCTGATCTCATTCTCAAGCTCCTCTGTATGACCCTCTAATGATGTAAATAACTCCCTTTAAATAAGAGAAGATCAACCCTAAAGTTTCTTTTTTCACATGGAAGACATATATGGAAAATATATTAAACAAAGATTCCAAAATTCGTACAAACTTACAGCCAAGTTTTGACAAGGTAAACAACTGTTTTATGAAATTCTCGTGAAATACAAAATTGTAGCTCTTCGAATTTCCTTTCAACTTAAACAAAAATTTAGTTGTTTTGATACTTGATGAGAGAGATACAGACATATTACCAAAAAGGGTTCAAGTTATCAACTTTGGAGAAAGTTTTCTAGTTAGAGAAGGATTCTTCATTTTCTTCTTCTTTCCATTCTCATCAACTTGTGCCTTCTCTTAGACTCTTTTCTAAGTATAAATAAACTTGGATCTTCATTATTGCTCGGTCCACGGAATGTCATCTTTTAAAATTAGAAATCACTAGTGTTGACTGATATTACAATTAAAGCCCTGAAATAAATAAAACAATATAAAATTACAAATAAATTAGTACTAAGAGAATAAAACATGTAAGTAAAGGGGCTAAAATGTTAATTAATAACCTAAATATATGGTTTTGTATGGAACAGTTTGATTCTGATTCTAAATTTTTTAAATATTTGAATCTTTGTAACCGACCTAGTCAGAATCGAACTAAATCATGCATGTGCACCCCTAGTAATTATATATATATATATATATATTCTCTGTTTTTTTGCCTACCCTTGTAAATTGATAGACTTGTCCCTGGCCTCACAAAAAACACAACTTTTTGGACCGTCGCCTTTATTGACTTGTTGATTACGCACTCGTCTCATCGTGATACATTTCACCTTCAAAACTAGCCTCAAGTAAATTTTTGGATCACACTTTTTACACAAGAAGTTGTGTTTAACATTATTGATACAATTGACATGGTAAGAAAAATTATGAGAATGAAGTGTTTTAAATTAATAAAATTGTGACGTGTTGTAATCTTAAAGCAAGATAGAAAAGTTTGCAAATTAATGTTTTTGCAGGCTATAGCTAATTAAGATGATCATGCATTTGTTGTAATTAAATATACACAAGGCTAGCGCGTGGAAAAAAGTAGTGCGATGAGAATGATACCACCGTGTAAAAAAGAATTCCAATAGTAGTTAATTATGGTGGGTTGCAAATTTAGGTCATATATATAGTTGAATGCGTTTAAATCGACAATACAAATGTATTGGGGACAAATTGGTCTACTGTGGTACAGCATTTACATGATTCTAGTCCAGAAGAGAACGTGCCTAAGCTAGATCCTCGCTCGCTGTGGTATCCCCAGTCCACAAGAGAGGATTTGGATTCGTGAGTGGGAGCTAAAATGGCTAACCAAGAAGAAGATGCTTTATACGTACAACCCTGAATAGCCCAATCAGAAATGAATCCACATGTTTATAGAACTTCACACAGGTTGTATTATAGTAGTAGTATATACTATATCTATACAGACACACATATATCCTGAAATGACAGCCTGACCCATCTTAAAAAGTAGGAACCGACCAACTATCTTATTTGTGTTGTACGAACTGCGCGCATCTGCAAGGGTCTCTTAAAACTTTCACCCTTTGAGACTTTATGGCGCTAACATGCATTTGAGATTTATTAGAATTATTGTATTATTTAACTTATTGTCGTTGATGAATTAAGTATATTGAACCTCAAAATGCCTACAGTCTTACTATCTAGCTGTCGAATTCAGTATGATTATGACAAAAAATAAAAATTTTAAAAAAAAAATGTCAAATTTTAACATAATTAATGGGACATCAAATTAACACCAAATTGTTTATAAAAACTTCTTAAAAATAAAATAAAAAACAAAAAAACTTATGCCGACCAAATTCATGTTTGTCAAATAAGATTTGATGTGTATAAGAAAAGTGACAACTCAAGCGTAGGAGACTAAGAAAATAAAGAAAGGTGATTAGGTTGAAGAACGCTTTACTTAATATGTTTCATATCAAATTTACTAGTTAGGCCCACACTGAAAAGGAGAGAATTGTTGATTGGATTCATTAATTATTACGTCAAATTACCTCCGGCCAATGATCAATTTTTTTTTTTTTTTTCTTGATGATAAAATAAACTTGTAAACTTAAGTACTGTTGTCAATAGGAACTCCGACCTTCAATTTTGGAAGGTGAAACTTAGTGGTTCATACATGTTAACCTTACCCAACCACCTTAATTGCATTCTAAACCTAATTCTGTCTGGTACGTGGTTCAGTAATATACATAGTTGATGGTGATTAATTAGGTGAGATTATAACATTGTTCATGGACCCGTGCAGTTTGTCAATATATACGTCTATATATATATATATATATATATAGCATTCCATGCACGATGGGGAGCTGATCAATAACAGTTGGTAGGTCATGATGTCCATAAAAACAAGACAGTGGAGATAAAAAGATAAGCTATAAGTTAGAAGCTGCTCGAGATGCTTCATTGATCGATGGACCCTCAATTCACTTGTACAGATGCAGCAGCAGCATGTTGCTGACCATTTTTATATATGTGGAAGGGCTAGCTGTTCAGAGTGGAGACTCGTCACTGAACTTTCAAAAATTAAGGTCGGCCGATTATCTGGCACTTGTCCAAAAAGAAGAGGTCTGCCACAAACAAATATAGTCTACCCGTGGAAGTCACAAAACCATGCATGTAAGAATATATATATATATATATATATATATTGGGGATCAGTACGCGGACCACCTTGCAACTTGGAACCCAACACATTGATGAGTTCATTTGAGCATCTAACCATTTTTAAGGTTATACATATAAGATGAATGAAAAGAGTGTAGGGTATTTTCTTTTTTTGCTTTTTTGAATTTTAATTTAAATAGAGAAAGTTAAGGGTACGTTTGGTTTCTAATTATAGAAACAGCTTTCTATTCTAAAAATTGTACAAAAAAACCAAACATTACTTAGGTTCGATTTTTTGAAAACTGTTTTCTGAAAACTCAGTTATAAAAATGAATATTTTTAGATAATTATAAAAGATTGTTTTCTAACAATAATTTTTTGTTTTTTAAATTTTTAAGAATTATTTTCAAAATTTTAAACCAAGTATGTCATAATTTATGTGTTTTTTTTTTTTTAAACAATCATACAAAATCATTACTCATTGAACATCCATCATTCTTTCAGATCGAGACACTATTTGAGATATTATTCCCAACAAACAACTAAGTTTGATTACCGTGCATTGATTAAGCTACTAGGATAATCCGCAAGGAAAGAAACCATCACCGTCAAATATTTAAAAGGGCTCAATAACTCCAAAGTAGAATCACAACTGTGATGAACTTTTCCTCCTTTTTTAGGACCCATCCGGCATCACTTCACACACACTGCATTGAATCAACCTAGATAAACGAGGGTCCGAATCCACTACCATAACAGTATCATATCGTACAATACTAAATGATCACAATCACTTATACATGTCCACGATTATACATAATCAGTGATCGTGGTTATCCCGATATTTTAATATAAAACAACTTTCGGTAGTCCCTGACATTCATGTCTCTCACAGACAAAAAGGCCTTGGGGAATAACTACAGGCAAAATTGGCTTTTGCACTCTTTCTTCAAAAGTAGCTTTCATTGCGTCTGTGAAATTCAAATACTTTAAATTCGGGCATTTCAAAGGGTGACAAATCATAATTCAAGTTCATGCATAAGCCTAGTTATATATCTTTTGAATGAGACATTTCTATGAAATTTCACTACATATAAAGCCAAGAATTTGAAATTACCAAGAATGGTGTTGATGGGTTAGCTTCAATATGCTTTTAATTTGAAATGTCGAATGTGCCCATTATCAATTCATCTTTGAATACAAAATTCACCTACCATATGGTGGGAAGTTGGTGTTTTTCTCACTTTGTTTTGTATAGAGATTAATATATCGAATGGAATACCATCCTTAAGAGAGAATTAACCTTTTTTTTATAATAATTTAAATTTCTAACTTTTTTTTAGGTCCTGTCCAGTTTAAGCCCAATAGAGTGTTTTGCATCTATATATATCTATTGTTTTTTAATATTGATGAACTTATAAACAATTGAGCACATGCAATAATTTACTTAAAAAAAAAAAATGGAGGAGGCTGAGGAGCACATACATGTGTGTGAACTATACAGTGTGGTAACAGAGAAGTCCGACCGTTCACACCTCAAGTCCACATGTGAAATCCATTTTAATCTTCCGGGAAGAAAACAGAATGTGAAATCATTTAATGGGATTCAAAGAATTCAGGCCCACACGGAGAACCATTTATAGGAACTGGGAAAAACATGCAAAATCTAGTACTCATAGAAACGCGGATGTAATAAAAAGTACAAACAAATATCTTGTATAAGAGATTGAGTCACTTTTCCTTATCCTTTTCCAAAGTCATTCTATAATAATGCAAAGATCAATTGGCATTACAAGTCTTCTTCTTTTTTTTTTTTCTTTTTTTTTTTTTGGTAAATAAGAAAAATTTAAATGCAAAATAATTTTTAAATCAAATTTTCAAACTTATATATTAGACTTAATGGTTACTATTCATTTGATGCAGTGAAGGAGACATATCTTAAAATTTATCCATTCATATTAAATGAATAGAAATCTTATAGACTTGACAAATAAGTTTGAGAATTTGGTTTAAATATTGAGAATAGCAATAGAAGGCACTCCCAAACCTAGGCTTTAACAGGTTTTACAGGTATTCCCAATCTGGGCTTTAACCATTTTTATTATTATTTTTTTTCACAAAATTATTTAAAGTTCGATGGTCCAACTTTGATGTGGGTGTGGCCCAACTTTGATGTCGAGGCCACACTCCACCCACATCAAAATACTCCGGCAAGATCCAACTTCTTTCTACCATGACTTTTTTCACATCTTTAAAGTTTAAAAATAAAAAATAGGGATGTCTTAATCAGCAAAGTAACGCAGTTGTTTCGATAGTCTAGTGAATTAGTATCTCCAGTGGATCTTGGAGTGACAGACTTCAATCACTTATATCTACTAATCTCACGTCTAACACTTCTTACCTAACTTGTCAAAAAATAAAAATAAAAAATCAACAAAGCAACAAAGCTTGAGTCAACAAAGCAACAAAGCTTGAGTCCAGCCGGGCAGAATGTGTTAACCTCCTATCAAATCCATCGGTGTCGATGATAAATATGGTGGAGTTGCTATCAGAATTTGGATGCACAAATTGATATCGGAGTTATTTTTTAGACATGCCCAACTGCTCTTTTTTCTTTTTGTTTCCTTTTGGGTAAATAAATGATTCTAACACAACTTGGTAACAAAACTGTAAATGTAAAAATGCACTATCAAGTACTTGGATGAAACCAAAGTGCTATGACACTTGTTCTTGTACAAAAAAAAAAAAAAAAAAAAAGGACAATAATGTATCACTAATTAAACAAATAACAAGAAAACCATAGTTTTCATCTCCAGATTCAAGATATATGCTACACCATCATAATCACCTATCACTACTTCCTATACTCTATGCTAATTAACCAACTCACCATCTCTAAATAGTCCTAGAGAAGTCCGTTTGGCTTTTGCCTATTTATTGCTCTTCATTACACACCAACCACTTCCCTTACTTGCAACACATAATTTCCTAACACATGCACCATTCTCACTCCCTACTACCCCAACTAAATGATGTCTTACCTTTCTTCCCAAATGCGAAATTCTGAAAATTCTCCCCATAATTATCGAGTCTATGCCTCGTTTTGCCCTAAAGATCCCACGTTAAGCATTAACAAGTCTAATTGGATCGACTGTTACACCCCATCCAACAACTCATGGCATCGAGTGACCATGATTCCGGGGCTCTTCGATGACCATGTCCTAAAGGACTTTGCCATGGTCACCTTGGGTGATGACATCTACGTTATTGGTGGCCGGCTTTGCCACAAGGTCATAGGTCGCGACCCCGAGGAAATTGTTGAGGTTGACCTAGAGGTGCTCCCTTCAGTACTATGTTACAATGTTCGCGCTGACGTGTGGTCCAAGTGTGCGCCGCTTGGTGTGGCGAGATTCGATTTTGCATGTACGGTCAGCAGCGATAAAATCTACGTGGCCGGGGGACAATCCTTGTTGCGCTGTGCTAGGGGCATTTCATCTGCTGAGGTGTATGACCCTGCGCTTGATGAGTGGAGATCATTGCCTAGCATGAACACATTGAGGTACAAATGTGTTGGGGTGACTTGGCAAGGAAAAGTCCACGTGGTAGGGGGGTTTGTTGAGAGAGGGGACTCTGATAGTCCTGGACCATATATAATGGAGAGGAGTTCTGCTGAGGTGTACGACACGCGGTGTGCCAGGTGGGAAATTGTCCCTAGGATGTGGGAGTTGGATGTGCCACCTAATCAGATTGTGGCTGTTGGTGGGAGGCTTTTTAGCTCAGGGAATTGTCTAAACGCATGGAAGGGTTACATTGAGGCCTATGATGTGAAGCATAATATCTGGAATGTTGTTGATGGGTCAAATTTGCACACTCTGTCCTCTCCGGTTTCCACGTCAGATGCCAGCGAAGCAAATTGGCCACCAATACAAAGACTATACCTCACAGTGGCACCAATAGGGACCCACCTGTACTTCTTGGCAGGGTATAGGATGCCGGGGGAGATGTCAAGATTGAGGTCGGCTGTCCACGTGTTTGACACATCAGCAAATGAAGATGGCTGGACAAGCTTTGAGCCAATGGAAGAGGAAGGAGAGAAGGAGCTATGTGGCCATTGCTGTGTTGTTAAGCAAGTCCCATAGGACTTCTGACCATGCCATGCCACTGGCCTTTGACTCCTATTAAGGCAAAGGTTTGGGACTAACAAGGTCCTAATAGAAAAAGAAGGAAAGAAAGAAAGAAAATGGTTCCGAGCCATAATGTAGAGAGGGGGTTATGGGCCTCACAACTGCACAGTAATGAGGCCCACAATTCATTCTCTTGTTGAAACTTTGTTTTCCTAGCCAGAATAAATTTTCTAATATATTTTGTTTTTTTATAGTCTTTCGATCCTTGGCGGGTTTATTTTGGAAACATTATTATTTGTATTAGATAAAAAAAGAAAAAAATGAAACACAATGCAAACAGGTCATAGAATTAATTGTTACAATTAGTTTGATGTTAAGACCTATTTGCATTAGTAGGACGAGTTCAATAACTCTTTTTAAAAAAATAAAAAATAAAATCAAAGAATGGGTAGGCTCTTGTTGTGTTTGGGCCCTTCTGTGGGCTTTCACCAAGGAAAGCAGGCTTGACAGGCCCGAGTCTTATTCAGGTGAAGGAAATACCAATAGTCTAGACTCAATCGGGGATAATTACGAATAGGTCCTTCATATGATGAACTAAGTATGGACGTATTTGAATGTCGGAGAAGCTTTTTCATTTTAGTTTTTCGAATTTTTCAATATAATTGCCCATTGAAATTTCACCGTCTAAAGAACTTTTAGACACTGTTTTTATATGCTTTTAAAAAAAATTATTTATTACTCATGAGAGACAATAATATTTGGTGGTGTTCTTTCCAATGTTTTGTTTGGGCTAATGGGTCCCAATACTTGTCACCAGCATGTGTTCTTTGTCTAAGTTGTGTGAACAAACCAACAATAATTCATTCTAAACTTTATCTCATCAAAATAATGAATCCAAGGCACTCTTGAGACATACCAATATAAGCATCCCATCTCTCTCACAAGAAAAAGATATTATAATTATGAAACTAGGTTGGTTGAATTATCTCTAGCTATTTAATTTTACCCAAATCATTATTTTTTCTATGGTGGAAACTTTTTGAATCACTGCTGAAATGTCCACAATTCAATTTATAGTGAAGCAGAGTGCACAGACTCATCTACCTTTGCTGTTTGTTTTCTACATGTTAATATCATCATCTTTGCATAGCATGCACCATTAAAACCACCAAGCTCTAAATGGGTTGAAGCATGAATCATGTGCAGTACAGCATGGGTATGCATCGGTCGACTCACAACACATATATGTGTGATCACGCGCGTGTTGTGAGCAGTCTAATGTAGTACAACACCTGTGCAGTAAGCAATGGGATCCCAACACAATGGCTTAAAGTATATATGTTTTTTATGTAATAAGCCAGTAATATATGAAAGACCTGTTGACTGTAGACACATAGTTTTCCTTTCACTGTTGTTTTATGTTCCTTAAAGCATAGTTGGTGTACTTAATTACCAAAAAGAAAAGCATAGTTGGTCTACTAATCTGATTGCATTGTCTTCTATATCTTTTTTCTCTTGTTTGTTTGAAATTTTCAACTCCTGTGGTAAAAAGATGAATACACTGTGCCCATCTCATGACACTTTTTTGCTGCAAAAGATTCCACAACAATGAGACTTCTGGCCTTTCCATCAACATAACACACATTCCAATCTCATCTCAAACTCAATTTCAAGTTAAAACCTAAGCTAACGACCTAGAAAAGAAAAGAAAATTGGACTTGGGAATTCCCAACTCAGAACCATGATCTCCATGGCAGATAATCAGCAAAATGGAGCTTCAGGGACCTTATTCATACACGCATTCTTCATTATGCGTATATCGGACTCATTGGCTACATCAAAGGGACATTCAGTTTGAATCAACATAATCTTCGCTTCATGTCTCCCGCTAAAGATCATTATACAGTGATCACATCCTTCTCCCACTAATAGATAAGGTTACGAATCTAATTCGGTTTTTCCTTCTTCTTGCAACAAGAAATGCATGGATGGCCCTTCATATACTGTTTTCTTACATTGACATGATTGATAGGAAACCAATTCTCTTTTGTTTCTTTGAATGATATGTGATTCAAAAAATAATCAAGTATTGAGTAGGCAACTTCATGAACACTTTTCTTTTGGACGATACTGAGTAGCAAGTCCATAAATTATATGTGAAAGAAAGGAAAGGAACAACAAAACGGGCATGAGCTTGGCCTACCACTACAACTTTGTGTGCTATAGGTGAGGCAGTGGGTTGGATTGGGTCATAGTGAAAGCTTTGTTCCTTCAAGCCATGATGTTGTTATACTACTGTCTACACTCGAGCATCCAAAGCTGTGTGAGAGAAGACCTTACCACTATCTTTATCACTTTGTCCATTCTCTTCTAAAATGTAGAAACAGTTGCTATACCATTGTTTTTATCTCTAGAAACCCTACAATTTGGAGTTTCGAGCTTGGATGGACTATTCTTCATGGCTTTACTCAGACCTTTGCCATTGCCATCTCCAGTGTACTTCATTGAGGAGGGGGGGAGAGAAAATGCATGATTTTCAGAATAAGGGGAAAACGGAGGATAATATTCTGATTCAAATTGAAAAATGCTGTGAAGACTAAAATTTGCAAGTGGAAGAAAGGAGTACTTGAGAATCTTTACTTTCTCGCTATCCAAACGACAATTCAACAAGGCATTTCAATACAAAGAGACAATACTTGCACTTTGAAAGGGGGAAAAACAATACCATTCCCTACTCCATTATGAGTACTTGAGGATCTTTACTTTCTCACTATCCAAACAACCATTCAACCAGGCATTTCAATACTAGGAGACAATACTTGCACTTTGAAAGGGGAAAAAAAATTGCCCGGTCACATATTTGTTAGTATTTCTCTTCTATAGGGAAGTAAAGTAGAGGTGAATTCCTTTTTGGAGGTGAATACAAATTCACATTTCCACACCACATCATGACCCCAAAACCGAGGAAAAGGAAAAGAGTTTTCCTCACTCCACTCCAATCTTCATCTCAAAGAGGGAACAGGATTAGCATATTCCAATGCCTTTGCCACACCACACATCCCAAAAACAACAATGTCTCATCATCTTCATCCTCTAAAAATAACTGGTTAAAAAAAAAAAAAAAAGACATTTCTTTGAATATACACAACTAAACCATCACCTGTTTTTGTTGCTATTGAACCCAAATCTTCTCTAGTACACAGTTTTATATTGTATTTTGTTGTGCATTTAAATTAAAAATGTAATAGCATTACAACCAGAATGCAACATTATATGGAGGATTCAACACCAATACAACACCGATGCACTCATGCAACACATTTACTACGAAGAAGATATAGCACGATGCAATACATAACATATTAATCTGTTGTACTTTGATTTAAAATGCACAGTAATTTTTTTTTTTTAACTAGAGAAGATCTTGATTGTATTGGTTCAGATGTTATGACCTCAATTCAAGCTTCCAATGGGACAAACGAGTGAATACATTGCATGCTTAATTTAAAAAATAAAAAACAAAAATCTTGGAGTTGATTGCTAATGCCAATTTACTATTCACAATAGGTTCTGCGAAGGCATAGAATGGGAACAAGAATGCGACATGGTGTTGAAAGATTAAAAACCTAAACGATGGCGTATTAATGGAAAAACTTACACTACAGAAAGATGAAGCACTCTAAAGAAACAAGAGGGTCTTCGAAAGACTCACTATTGCTGGTCTCCGGCAATACGCCGTCGTTTGGCTTCTCCCGCTTAACACCATTCTCTGCGGCTTTCACCGGTGACCACTCACCGGACCGTCCGTTCGTAGTTAAATTCGGGTTTATGTGTCTCGGCGACGGAGATGCTGCAGCCTCTCCACGTGTCACTGGCGACATCGACCTCCGGCCTGAACCCTCACCATGGTCTCGCCGGAGACCGTTTGGTGGCCCTACATTGCGCCGTCTGGTCGTGGTTGTCTGATCCTGAGCCGACCTCAATGTGATGTTGCTTCTTCTTTCCGGCGACGGCGCCTGCCTCCTCGCCGGAGATCTGGGTTTCCTCTCCCTCGCTCCGGCGATTTCGCCAGAGGACGGCCGTCTCTTTGAGACCTTCGCAGGGGACCTCTCGACTCTCTGGTTCACTTCTCCATCGTCATCTCTTTTATCGGTCACCGTCGTCGTCGAGAAACTCTCGCTGAAACTGTACATGTCTGAAACCTCAGAGATGATATCATCTATTGGTTTAATTACAGCCATTGGTTGGATCTTGGCTTCATCGACATTAGGTAGCTTGTTGTTGGTGGGTTCGATCTGTGTAGAAATGGGTGGTTTCGTAACGGGTGTCTCGGAGAGCACTTCTTTGACGGTTTCTTCTTCGGGTGGCGGCGGAGGAGGAGCTCTGCAGTTGGCATCAGATTCCGGCGAGTGGTGGTGGTGATTTGGAGGAACCACATCTGGGTTTGTTTTGGGGGCCTCATTGGCGCTAAGGCAGCAACCCATGTCGGTAAACGGTACAGAGACTCAGACAAAGTAGTCAAACAAATTGCATGAGTGCGTGTCTCTGCGGTGGTTCAGGCGCAGATATGGGTTGTAATTGGAGGCTTGGATTTGAGATTGTGTTTGTGGAAGTATGTATATGGTCGGGTCACTGTGCTAATTGATCCAGCAGTGTGTGTACATGATGCGAAGTGACAGCACATTATAGTGTAATGTTTTTTTTTTTTTTTTTTGAAATTTCAAGCTAACTGATATAAATAAAATAAATAATTACAAAAGGAGGGCCAGAAGCCCAAAAACAAAAGCCCAATTAAAGAGCCAACCCAATACAAACAAGGTACAGAAATAGCCCAATCCAATTCCAAAACTAAAAACCGACATTAACAGCTAATGGAATCACTAAAGGTGGTTATCAGTCGAACAATCCGGTAGTAAACCCTAGCATGTAGGGTGGAGAAGATGGAGTGTAGAAGCTCAATCCGGCGGTCTTGGAGGCGGACGACGAAGGCAGCAAGAAGGCGAGACATTCCAATCAATAAGAATTCATCTTTTTGCAGTACAATCCATAAAATAACCTAATGTAAGGAGAGATGTAATGGTGGAGCAAAACCTTGAGAGAGAAATTTTTTTTTTTGAGATATTTTTTTATCTCTATTTGACCAGTAAAAGAAATACATATATTAGAACTTTCTAACTTATAAGTAGCATTAAATCTTCGGAAATATATAACTCACTCTGCTAATTAATACAACAGTGTGTGTTACGTGTGTACATGATGCGAAGTGACAGCACATTATGCAAAGTGACAGCACATTATATAGTAGCATGAAGTGACAGCACATGATGCGAAGTGACAGCACATTATATTTTTTTATCTCTATTTGACCAGAAAAAAAATACATATATTAGAACTTTCTAATTTATAAGTAGCATTAGGATGACAATTTCCTCCAACCCGCTGGGTTTTCGTCCCGCTAAGCTCCTAATGGGGCAGATTTGGTAGCTCTATAAATGAGTTTAGGACGAATATAGTAAAATAATTGAAAACCCGAAGCGGGTTTAGGGCGGGGCGGATTTAGTGATACCTCCGCCCCGACCCCGATTATATATATATATATATATATATATATATATTTAATTTAAGTGTCCGTTAATATATTTTGACTAAATATTCGCTAGAATCACTACTTACTAAAATTTTACAATTGTGCACGTGATTCAATATTCAAGAATCAATCAAGGATTCAAGATCTTAGTATTCTATCCCAAATTCAGGAATTAATTCAATAGTTTCAATTTTACCGCAACTAAACGAAGTGTACGGGACGGAGTCGGTATTTTATCTACCGGAGTAGGGGAGGAGATGGTATACCAATTATAAACCTGTCCCAGAATTGAAGCGGAGTTGGTATGATGAATTTTTTAACAAGGCGGAGTAGGGTTTAGCAAACTCCACCCCAACTCCACCCTGTTGGCATCCCTAAGCATTAAGTCTTAGGAAAAATCTCTCACTGTGCTAAATTGATACAGCAGTGTGTGCACATAATGTGAAGTGATGTAGCATGAAGTGACAACACATGATGCGAAGTGACATCACATTATATTTTTTAATTTCTATTTGACCAGTAAAAGAAATACATATAGTAGAACTTTCTAACATTTAAGTTGCGTTAATTGATACAGCAGTGTGTGTACATGATGAAGTGATAGCACATTATAGTGTAATGTATAGTCTCCTTTTTCTTTTTCTTTTTTCTTTTTTTTTCCCGAAATTTTCAAGCTAACTGATATAAAATCAAATAAATAATTACAAAAGGAGGGCCAGAAGCCCAAAAACAAAAGCCCAATTAAAGAGCCAACCGAATACAAACAAGGCATAGAAAAAGCCCAATCCAATTCCAAAACTAAAAACCGACATTAATAGCTAATGGAATCATTCATGGTGGTTTTCACTCGAACAATCCAGTAGTAAACCCTACCATGTAGGGTGGAGAAGATGGAGTGTAGAAGCTCAAATCAGCGGTTTTGGAGGCAGACAACGACAGCAACAAGAAGGCGAGACATTCCAATCAGTAAGAATTCGTCTTGTTGCCTTACAATCCATAAAATAACCTAATTTAAGGAGAGATCTAATGGTGGAGCAAAACCTCGAGAGAGATTTTTTTTTGAAGATATTTTTTTTATCTCTATTTGACCAATAAAAGAAATACACATATTAGAACTTTCTAATTTATAAATAGCATTAAGTCTTAAGAAATATATAACTCTCAACTAAGAGAGAGATAATACACTACGTTAGGAGAAATATATATAGAAAATTCTATTATTATTTTTTCTGTAAATGTGAGAAAAATCTTTAAAAGTAGGTTAAATGTGCACATAACACTTCTATACTATGAGATTATCAGCATACACTATACACACTCTCTTGGATATTTTCGAAAGAGTAAAAAGACAAAGCGAGCACTTCAACATCATTCAAACAATAAAAGTAAACCAAATTGGATGAAACATAAATCTGTGATAAAGACTCCATTAAAGCCAGGATACATGGGCATAATGTACTGCCTGCAACGTGTATTGTTACCAAATGTATATTTATGTCTTAAAATCCCCTTGGAGTTGGGGATTAAACCTCATCATCTCATCCTTTGAGGAAGAGAGGTCACAACACCTAATTAAACCGGTGGTATATGACAACTCAGATACTGAAGAGCTTACTTCCATTTTTTCCTTTTTTTCGGACCTTCATAGCTCCATGTTCGGTCAAGTTCATTCGATGAAATGCTGCACTAAGGTATCTCGGCTGATATATGTGCCTCTGCTTTGGGAAGTTCCGGGGTCGGAAGAGACTCCACTGTCCCTACTTACAGCTTAAAAGATGAGGGAGGACCTTAGCCAGTTAGGGCCATCCTGAATTAATCTGTATGTCATCTCATGTATCTGAGAATAAATACTAAAAACAACTCATAAAAACCAATAATGTCCAACCCAAAACACTTCAAAAAGCTCATGTTATTGATTGCCAATAAATGACCAAAAACAAATCACCCATTACTCTACTGTAACAAAATGGGTGGCCACATTTTGTATTATATACACATCAAACATATATAATACAAAACCATTCTCTTAATTTTCTGATTGAATAAACACCTACATTCAAAGCAATTTATATTTCAAACATGGCAGCTTCAATTGAGCTCACCCAAAGCAACACTGCACTCACTAGCTAATATTGGAGTTTACTGTTATAATATATAATTGTACCTCACTTCACATATATAGAGATATATAATTGATAAATGAACTTGAAATTCAGAACATACCTGGTTATTGAGAGAGAGAGAGAGAGCTCATCATTCATACAACAAAATGAAAATCAGTCTTACTAAAGAAAGGCTGGCCCTTCACATTGGTGGCATTACTTCAACTATGGTCCTGTGCTTGCACACACATATATATAAAGGAATGACTAGCATTTTAACTCCGAACCTCAAACCTACATGAAACACATCAAGACCGACAGACACTGTTTCACATACAGTACTTGCTACCAAACATGAATAAGTATTTGTAAGCCAAGCTTCAATCTTTTCACGCAAACCTGATCATGTCAAGCACCATCAAAAGGAACGACAGGAAAGAAAGGAAGTTTAAACTGCATATACGACATATGACATAAGAACGTAATTGTCTTTACAGATTCCCGCATGAAGATTTCCATGTAGCTACATTTAAGGGTCAAGTACATCAGCTAGACTCGGATACAATTATATTCTGAAGGCCAATAATACTTAAAGCACATTAGCAGCCGAAGAAGTCTCTGTTTTATAATTAGTACATTCCTACCATACTTTTCCTCCCACCCCCACTTTGCATCAGATGGAGAACCAAGCCCCTCAGTGCCGGCAAATAAGATCCTTAACCGGAGCCATTATTAGCGGACTCCCCTTGATTTGCCAAGAAACGGACAACGACAATAGTAATGTTATCGGCACTGCCTCTCTGATAGGCTTCCTGCATCAGCCTCCTTGCTGCTTCCTCTGTGTCTTCAATTGGTTTTACCATTATCCTCAGAAAAAGGTATATATATCTCTTTAGAGTTTGAAGAATATTGAAATGTACAAACATCTGGAATAGGGCCAGATAAAAAAATTGAAGATTGATAAATAAGTAGATAAATAAATAAAAGGCTAGATCAATTTATGCTAAAGTATTTATGAGGTGGAGGATCACAAAGGAAAAAGGGACAAATAAGGAATCTATCGGACATCAGATAGACTTCAAAAAAAGGTGAAAGAAAAAGTGAAACTTTGGCAAACCTCATTTGTGACGACATCCCATAGTCCATCACTTGCAAGGATAAGGAACTTGAGGGAGCTGTCAACTTTTTCCTCCTGCAATTTTTTTTTTTTTTAAAAAATAAAAAAAATAAATAGAAATAGAAAATTGATCACTCCAGATATGGTAAAAGAAATGTTGATAGCAAGTGGAAAAAAGAAGGAATAAGGACTGCTTCAGGGCAACACACCCAAATGTCTCCATCATATATGTTATCATAATTGCGACTTACAATCCAGTAACACCAGTTGATGCTAAAAGAATCCCTACATCAGAACTCTTAAATGTCATTCTATCCAGATGGACCATATCAGACATTTTATGTTTTACATCAACATACTGTCCATTATGCTTTAGCATATAGTACCATTAGAAGATAGATTAGAAAGTCGGGCCATGTTGATGTCATATAATTTGAAGAATAGAGAATTCTGACATCAAGAGAGACACCCTGCACTGGTTTCCATGCAAAACATTGTGTAGCATATATGCGCATATTATAATTGAACAAACAGAAACAAAAAAAACACATTTTCTGAAAAAAAAAAATGTGGATAGACTGGCATCTTTTTTCAATAGATGACCAACTTTATACGAATATAAATTCAATATTTGCACTTAACCAGACCTGAATTTCTGGATCAGCAACAACATACTGCTTCAATAGCCTATCACCAAATGCACGTGAAACAGCAAGTACACCACCAACTCTCCAAGTTCCTATTGCCAAAATTTTGGGTCACCACAGTGCCAAGTACAATTTGATAATTATAAACAATGGATAAGCTAACCAGATGATGCCCTTAACTATAACTATAGACCAGTTTTAACTATAAATAATATATTGAGTTCAATATTATTTAAAAAGTACAAACAGATTCAAATATATATATTTTTAGATTGAATCACAAGTAAAACTCGGTATATTTAAGAATTAATCTGATCCATTCTTGTCCTGAATGGATTTTGGTGTGGGCCTTAGGTTAAACATGCTCTATTTCAAACTCTAATGTGGAGTCAATGTTAAATTATAAACAGACAAAATGCGTTTCTCTAAACACACAGCTATTTATGAGAAAATATACAATGCCGGGAGTATTTTGAAACGTGATATTCCTCCCAATAAAAACTTTCTATTTTTATTCTATAATAGAAGCTATAGAAATCATTACCAAGCAAACAGTCCATTTCCCAGAATTTTGATTACCAAGCAAAGAATCAAAGCAGGTAAGCAGGTTCAAATATAAATATAATGCCAACTTGCTAAGCATGTCTAATTTTGAACCTCTCGGTCTTGTAAACCAAAATCAATTCTTGCCAACAATCATGTAGCCTAAGGATTTGTATGAGTTCCTCTTGAAGGTAATCAAATTCTAAGCAAATTTGTAATAACAGTTTGCATGTAATAGTATAATATAAGAATTATCTGTTAGAAAAGCATACATTGATGAGTCCTTGAACATTCATAGATCAACTTCTATACAGAATAAAAGATATGTTCATCGGATTCAACTGAATGTAACAAATGACAATATATCACAGAGTTATTCCTTGTATCTTGAGCAATGTTTATGCTGATCTATTAATCAAACTTAACTTCAGGTTAAAGTAGAGCACACCTGCTCAAAACCATGGAGATAACCAAATTCATTGAAAAACTTGAAAAATGAAAAAAGATCACCACATTCTTCCTGAAGTCCCAAATTGTCCATGTCAATAAACCAGTCAATGTGTGTTGGAAAATATGACTTGGCTGTGAGGGAATTAAGGCACATTCTCAATGTCTCTGAAGTAAGCATGCTTAAGAGCATCCTGAGCTGTAATTCTTTTAGTTGGATTCAACGCAAACATTCGCTGGAAAAACATAAAACAGTACCATTAGTGAGAAAAACAAGAAATCCGTTGCATTTGCTTAATAGTAGAAATTTGAGATCATTTGTTTCATGACTGGAGGTCAATTTCAACAAATCTGCCTATTGTAAGTAACCCATTATTCCATGTGGCTGTGTGGAATTATTGGTCATGGGAAAAAAAAGTACTGGACCCTGAAAGGTTAGCTATCTTAACCATCCTCTCCATCCACACAAGGTTCCCATGGTTCCTTATGCAACCCTCATAATAAAATCTGAACTTACAGAAAGAAGATCATATCCGTCTGGTTCAAGACCTGGGACTTTCTTCTCCAGTGCAGTCATTCCAGGCCAGGTTTGATCTGGTGTACTTGTAACACTAAATAAAAGAAATTAAATGTATGTAAGAGTGAACAACACAATGGTATTATATTATATGAACAAACAGGGAAATGTGGTTGTGCGGAGCTATATGAAACCTGAACATTGTGTACAAGTTATCATACTCAAGGCCCTGCAACATATTTTGATTGGTTACCATCTCAGCAAATATACAACCCACAGACCACACATCAATAGCAGTATAGTATTCCCTCGAACCAAGTAATAGTTCGGGTGCTTTGTACCCAGTAGATACCGCCTGGAAAGAACTCCAACAAAATGAGTAAACTTGGACTGTGGAGTAGCCATCAACCATAATTCAAAAGAAAAGAAACAAACCACGAGTTTGGGTCTAGCGTCAACTGTGGATAATTTGATAAACTTGCAACATGAGAAGCAAAACAGTGTAACCCAGGGTTGTATTCCAGTAGTGCATCACCTTCTAAAGTAGAAGGTCGAGGGTTCAAGTCACCATAGGGGCAGAGCGGATGTGCGAGACTCAACTAGAGGGAAAAAAAAGTAATAAAAAATAAAATGTATTATAAAAGATGCTAGATGTCATGGTTTTGTTCACAACCAACTAAAATAATTCTTCATTTTCTGAAAATATTTCATTCTTAAAACTTAAAAATAGGCAAAACTCAAGCTAACTTACTAGGAATGCCCAAAAGATAATAATATGCTATTCCTACAATACATGCATCGAAAGCACCTGTATTGAGGAGAAGTGTCATTTTCTAATGCTACCAAAGAAACCAAATTAACAAAAAGAGCAGCATTCATACACCACATGACTTAATGGGTCAGAAAAGCCAGTGGCTAGCTAACGCTTGCTAAAACAATCAGGTTCTTCAAAGAATGAGCTAATAAGATTGAAAGGATGGCCACAATAATAAAAGTAAAACTGATACCTCGTTAGTGTATGTATTAGAGGGAACACCAATTGCCCTGGCCAATCCGAAGTCTGCAATTTTCACGATTTTTTTACCGGTATCTACCAGCAAATTCGCAGGCTTCAGATCTCGGTGGATAATTTTCTGTGAATGACAATATGCAACACCAGAGAAATCTGAAGCAGAAATTTCTGCAAAGAGATCATGAAAATTAAATCACAAACTTAGTTGTGACATTCCAGAGCAGTATCATTGTTATCTTCAAATAAACACCAAAGCCATATAATAGTGCAGTTATCTTTTTAAATTAATAAAATGATAGTCAATGTAGCAGTGGCCCTCACTTTTATTCTTTGCAGATTCTTAGCGTCGAACGTGTTGGTCTTCATGTAATCAAACAGATCACAGTCCAAATACTCAAAAACAAGAAACATGGTTTTTTTCCTGTTGAATATTTCCAAAAACCTGAAAATCAGCAACCCATCAGATAATTTGTTCAAACAATTCTAAAAAAAAAAAAAAAAAAGCAGAGATGTTATCAATTAATTAGTTGTTGATACAAATAAAGCTGAGCCCAGTAGCAAGGGCTGTAACCAAGCGGGGCATTAAAGCGGTTGGATGTTGAATGATGTGCACCCAACCCACCATGGTTTCGGTAGCAATCGACTCTCATGTTAAAAAAAAAAAAAAAAACATATAAACTACAAAGTTTACTTAAATAAGCAGATACTTCCGATCTGAGAATTAACATGCTATTGAGTAAAGTAGTTTATTGTTGGAAGGATGCATTCTATCTGAATGGCAATCCAGTTATTATGGCAACTGTCTCAGCCACCAGCAATCACAGAAGGCACAACATCATTTCACTCTTCATTGGCATGATTAAGATGAATCTCTTGCCTTTCTGCCACTTTAATTTATGTTTGTAGAATTGGTTGATACTAACAGGTGTTTTCAAATACCATTACATCATGTGGTGCAACTAAGTATATTTCAAGTATGAATTTCAAATGTCAACTGGTTTACCTAAAGAAATCAAAGTCCAGCCAAACACCAGGATCTTGATCGACCATGTGGTCATAATTAGGTGAACCGGAATGATAGATCAAACAGAGTAAGCTAAGACCTGGCAATTAATTTTCCAAAATGACCTCATCCACAAGAGATATGATGGTTAGAATTGATATAAGGGACATGTCTATGCATATTAACTGAGAAGGTGGCACAGTGCCTCAATATAAGTGTGGAATCTTTGCATTCAGAGTTCACTTTCAATCTTGCGTTGCACTGAATTTCCAAATGAGACACGGCATCTTCGTCACTACTTATATGCACACATAGTGTAAGGAAACTGTCAAAATGGATGAGGAACCATCACAATAAAAAAGTAAAAAAATGAATACCAAAAGGAGCATGCTTTATTTGTGAGCAAGTGAGCACTGCAAAGTAGATTCTCCCAAACACGAGAAAGATTCAGAAAAGGCACAAGAGATGAATCTTAAGCCCTGATCATAGACACTGGAATCTAATGGTGCATTGATTTGAGACCACAAGATGTATCTATGGACTTGTTTGTGAAGATGACATATATATAATCTAGAGAAAATCGAAAATTTTAAAGGCAACAATACGTATTGGGATGTTTTACTTGTGGAGACTGTAGAGTCTTCTCAGAATATTCAAGCTTCATGCTAACAGACATGCTTTATCTGCCTAAAATTGAAAGAAGTCTTGTTGCTGTGTCAGTATTAAATGGGAAAGGTTTAAATTTAGAATTTGTAAAGGGAAAGTCTAGGTTAAGAAGTGTAGGCAAACAATTGTAGAAGAACTAGTGGATGGCAGTTACAGATTATTAATAACAATTGTAATAAAATAATAATAGAATAATAGTTTCTCTTATTTAATTGAGTCTAGTAATATTAATTCATATACAGGGGTAATTAGGTTGGGACACATAACACCAAAGAAACAAGGGCTTGAAGGAGTAGATATTAAAGCCAGATTTGGAGGATATGAAGAGGCATCATATGTCCATTGTATACGATTCCCAGAGACTGTAATAGTGGGAGCCTCTACATATATAAAACTTATTTTTTTCTATGACAACATGAATTTTGATTTGAATTAAAGCTATTCCAGATCAACACTTACAATTTAAGTGATAGATGTAAATGAGAACTGCACAAGCCCATAAATGAAATTTTGCGCAAGGTCAAGCCTTGGCCCAAGTTATTAGCCCCGGCCCATAAAGGGGGAAGCCCAGCAAGAACTAAATTTCGAAAAGAGACTGCTGGTCCAAATGTTACAATCCGGTCATCATAGTGTGCAAGAAATGGCATTTCCTTGCTCCCTTTTCGGAAATTTTTTTTGAAAATTTAACTTCATTGATGGATTCAGAATGGGTCAGCTTCAATGGATTCAATAGTAGCTATCGACAATTTTAAAGTTAGAAAAGAGAATGAATCACCAATTTCCAGAAGAAATAATGAATATTTTTTTAATTAAATATCATGCAAATCCTTTCGATACTAATCGAACACTTAAATATCAACTTATGGGTTGGCTGCAAAAGATTCCACAACGATGAGACTTTTGGCCTTTCCATCAACGTAACACACTTTCCAATCTCTTCTCAAACTCAATTTCAAGCTAAAACCTAAGCTAACAATCTAGAAAAGAAAAGAAAATTGGACTTGAGAATTCCCAACTCAGAACCATGATCTCCACGGCAGATAATCAGCAAAATGGAGCTTCAGGGACCTTATTCACACACGCATTCTTCATTATGCGTATATCGGACTCATTGCCTACATCAAAGGGACATTCAGTTTGAATCAACATAATCTTTGCTTCATTTCTCCCACTGAAGGGTCATATCCTTCTCCCACTAATAGCTAAGGTTACGAATCTAATTCGATTTTTCCTTCTTCTTGCAACAAGAAGTTTTCGTTCATTGACATGATCGATTGGAAACCAGGCCTCTTTTGTTTCTTTGAATAATATGTGATTCAAAAAATAATCAAGTATTGAGTAGGCAACTTCATGAACACTTTTCTTTTGGATAATACTGAGTAGCAAGTCCATAAATTATATTGGAAAGAAAGGAAAGGAATAACAAAACGGGCATGAGCTTGGCCTACCACTATAACTTTGTGTGCTATAGGTGAGGCAGTGGGTTGGATTGGGTCATAGTGAAAGCTTTGTTCCTTCAAGCCATGGTGTTGTTATATTACTGTCTACACTCTAGCATCCAAAGCTGTGTGAGAGAAGACCATAACCGTATCTTTACTCTCTCTATCCAAATAACAATTCAAAAAGGCATTTCAATACTAGGAGACAATACTAGTACTTGGATGGGCTATTCTTCATGGCCATTAACATCACTGTAATTCATTTGGGGGAAAGAAATTGCATGATTTTTCGGAATATGAGGAAAACAAAGGATGTTATTCTGATTGAAATCGAAAATGGTGTGAAGACTAGGATTTGCAAATGGAAAGTGGTTACTACAATCTACAAAATTAAGAATGTGATCTGGGGTGGGGGAGTTTGAAAGTCTATTTTGTTGAGCCAAGTAGAAAGGAGTACTTGAGGATCTTTACTTTTCCACTATCCAAACAACTACTATTTAACAAGGCATCTCAATACTAGGAGACAATTACTTGCGCTTTGAAAGGGGGTAAAAAAATTTACCTTTACCTACTCCATTGTATACTTTTTAGTATTTCCTTTCTATAGGGAAGTGAAGTAAAGGTGAATTATTTTCAGGAGGTAAATAAAAAATCCCCTTTTAATTCACATTTCCACACCACATCATGACCCCCAACACCAAGGAAAAGAAAAAGAAGTTCCCCTCACTCCGCTCCAATCTTCATCTCAGAGAGGGAACACGATTAGCATATTCCAATGCCTTTGCCACACCACACATCCCAAAAACAACAGTCTCATCATCGTCACCTTCTAAAAAGAACTGGAAAAAAAAAAAAAAAATGACATTTATTTGGATATACACAACTATCAAGTTATGAACTTTTGATTTTTCATGACATCTTCAAATAACCATCACCTGATGTTGTTGCTATGAAAAAAAAAAAAAAAAAAAAAGACATTTCTTTGGATTATTGTATTTTGTGGTGCATTTAAATCAAGAATGTAATAGCATTACACTGATAATGCACATCGTATCAAGGAAGCAACACTGATGCACTCTTGCAACACATTTACTAGGAAGATTTAGCACTCATGCAATAAGTCATGTTCAAATCACACAATATCAACTACTTCACAACAAAAATGCAACACCTTTGCTTTGGTATTGCATCCTCAATGTAACATATTAATCCGAATCCAATGTACTTTGATTTAAAATGGACAGTACAAATTTTATTACTAGAGAAGATCTTGATTGTATTGGTTCAATGGTATGATCTCAATTCAAGCCTCAAATGGGACAAACGAGCAAATACATTGCATGCTTTAATTTAGAAAAAGAAAAAATAAATAAATCTTCAATTTGATTGCTAATAACAATTTACTATTCACAAAATGGTCTGCCAAGGAATAAGAATGCGACATCGTGTTGAAAGATTAGGAACCTAAACGATGGCGTATTAATGGAAAAACCTACACTACAGAAAGATAAAGCACTCTAAAGAAACAAGAGGGTCTTCGAAAGACTCACAATTGCTGGTCTCCGGCAATACACCGTCGTTTGACTTTGCATCAGGTGGAGAACCAAGCCCCTCGGTGCCGGCAAAGAAGATCCTTAACCGGAGCCATTATTAGCAGACTCCCCTTGGTTTACCAAGAAACGGACGACAACAATAGTAATGTTATCTGCACTGCCTCTCTGATAGGCTTCCTGCATCAGCCTCCTTGCTGCTTCCTCTGTGTCTTCAATTGGTTTTACCACTGCAACAGCATCCTCAGAAAAAGGTACATATATCACTTTAGAGTTTGAAGAATGTTGAAATGCAAACATCTGGAATAGGGCCAGTTAAAAAATTGAAGATTGATAAATAAGTAGATAAATAAATAAAAGGCTAGATCAATTTATGCTAAAGTATTTATGAGGTGGAGGATCACAAAGGAAAAAGGGACAAATAAGGAATCTATTGGACATCAGATAGACTTTAAAAAAAGGTGAAAGAAAAAGTGAAACTTTGGCAAACCTCATTTGTGACGACATCCCATAGTCCATCATCACTTGCAAGGATAAGGAACTCGAGGGAGCTGTCAACTTTTTCCTCCTGCAATTTTTTTTTTTTTTAAAAAAATAGAAATAGAAAAATGATCAGTCCAGATATGGTAAAAGAAATGTTGATAGCAAGTGAAAAAAAGAAGGAACAAGGACTGCTTCGGGGCAACACACCCAAATGTCTCCATCATATACGTTATCATAATTGGGACTTGCAATCCACCAACACCAGTTGATGCTAAAAGAATCCCTACATCAGAACTCTTAAATGTCATTCTATCCAGATGGACAAGGGTTCCCATATCAGACATTTTATGTTTTACATCAACATACAGTCCATTATGCTTTAGAATATAGTACCATTAGAAGATAGATTAGAAAGTCGGGCCATGTTGATGTCATATAATTTGAAGAAGAGAGAATTCTGACATCAAGAGAGACACCCTGCACTGGTTTCCATGCAAAACATTGTGTTGCATATATGTGCATATTATAATTGAACAAACAGAAACAAAAAAACACATTTTCTGAAAAACAATGTGGATAGACTGGCATCTTTTTTCAATAGATGTCCAACTTTATACGAATATAAATTCAATATTTGCACTTAACCAGACCTGAATTTCTGGATCAGCAACAACATACTGCTTCAAAAGCCTATCACCAAATGCACGCGAAACAGCAAGTACACCACCAACTCTCCAAGTTCCTATTGCCAAAATTTTGGGTCACCACAGTGCCAATGTACAATTTGATAATTATAAACAATGGATAAGCTAACCAAATGATGCCCTTACCAGCCCACATAACAAATCCTCCAGCTTCTTCAATCCGTTGTCGCTCATCAGTTTGGTCAGGCTTGTGATCTCGAGAAACAGCAATTGCTGCAGGAAATAACAAAAAACTTTATCAGATGTTTCATGGATGCCAGGGAGCATCATAGAAGCAAACATCCTTCACGAGATCTCTATAATGACAATACAGAAAAAACTTTCATATAATCAGATAAGTAATTAGGAGCATAAATAAACAGTCTGCAGGTATAGTTTTGTGGGTACGGGAATGGTGGGGGAGGGAATCAGTAACAAAATGAGAAGTGTGGCCAAACTCGCTGGGCATATTTTAAGTCATATTAGTATTCACTGGACATCCTATTTCAGATTTATTGTCCGCTTGTCATGCTTAAAGGTGGAACTTTTTATTTCTTCACCACTTCAAAATCAAAGTATATAGTTAAGTACAGAGAGGAAAAGAATAATAAAAATGAATCATGGTAAGATGGAGGAGGAGTGAAGCATGTGATGAAAAGTATCTAGATAACAAATTAACAACATCTGAATACTTAAACAGGCCTATTTAAAAGGCAAGAGACCCTCCTACTTGAGGACAATTACTGAACCGACGCCGTTAACATTATTCCTTACGATTCCATGTCACCCGTTTCTATATGAAAGAGAGAGAGGTTTAAAAGAAACCTCAAGTAATTCCAAATTTGGCACAAGGCCTCACCATCAATCACTTCTCCAAATACCAATTTCCTTTACATACATGGACTATGATCACCGACATCACTAGTGCGAAAATTCTAGCAGGTATGATGATCAGCAAGGCATACTTCCACTATTTCCAAATGATTTCGTGCATGTTTTATAACTCAACTCAACTCCAACTCAATAAAGCCTTTTCCCAACTATTTGGGTCAGCTACAAGAATCCTGCTTGTGTTTCTAGTAGGAAAGACATGGAATAAGAAGAAAGTGCTGAATACATTTTATAGTTATCGATGTGTTCAAAGAAAGCAGGCACAGTTTGGTCAAAAAGCCAAAATAAATGAACAAAAAGCATCTATGTTACACACTTGAAATTCAGAAGTAACAAATTATAAAACATAAACTTTGGAATTTCTTTTACACATCACGGGGAAAAGCTACAGTGAAACCTTAGGTTTTCCTGAATGCATGAAATATCAAACAACACTAATGTTTCTAGAATACTGGCTACAAGAAGCATGAAAAAAGAATGGAGCCTTTGTTTTCTATATACAAATGCATATGAAAAGAGAAGCGAGAAAGAGAACGGGTAGGAGCATCACTATGATACTTGTTACCAAGATGGATTTCACATTTAACAGAAACTCAAAAAACGTGGTAGAATTAGTAAGAACTAAGAAAATTAAAATAACAGAATAGGAGAGTCGTTAAAAGAATACAAAATAACTAGGAGGATAAGATCTAAATGACTGTTAGGACAAAGAATACAAAACAAACAATTCAGAGCTTTTTGAAGAATTGATGTTCCATACTTCAGACAAGACCTGATACTTAAATACTGTAATAGACAATTTCCCTACCAGAACAATTACCAATAGCAAATATGAAAATAACACAATCTCCTTGGCATACAGGTGAACATAAATTGTCAATGTACTGTAAATATCAATACAGGAAGAAGAAAAAAAAAAAACCTCCCGAGTCTTACCATTGCCTCCCCTGCAAATAACAGCTCTGGAATCCCCAACATTTGCAACCAGCAAACGATCACCAACAAGGATGGCAGTGGAAGCAGTTGATCCAGCATCTCTGTTCTGATTATTTTCTGATTTCAGAAATTCCGAGTCTGTATGGCTGTATGCATTGGATGTAATACATTTATAACATTTTTCTTTCTAACATCTTGATCCAATTGACAGGGAAATAAAAGGCCACAACTCAAGAAACTGAAATACATTTTTATATCAGAGAAGAAATAATATCTTTTATTGAATAATAAAAATATTTGATATTGAAAAAATAATATATTTACATCAAACAAAAAATAGAATTAAAAAACAGGCTACTCCCTATCAATTACATCAAGCACCAACATCAAGATAGTGTGCTGCATGGATCATGTTGAAGTACAGGAGAATCCTCATACAAACTTTGAAATCCACTAACAAGATTTTCAATCAAGTCGTCCATTAACTCCTTTAGGACGGAAAAATCCTTTGACAGATTGAGTTCATCAAAGATTTCATCAGCTATACCAAATGTAGTATCCACATCCATAATAAACATGAACTCAAGATTCCTAACCTGACCACATGAGTCAGTTACGCGCAAGGTAAATGAAAGCGAATTGTCACCAGCTTTCTTGCCTCTTAATCTGAAGTTACCTCTCTCAAACTCTAGAGCCGCCCCATTGATGGTTTCTGTGCCACCAATATCTGAAAAATTAGTACTTTTCCTCTCTATGTCCATCCAAAGAGAGTCACTAATATCTGAAAAATTACTACTCTTGGTCTCTCTGTCCATTCAAAGAGGGTTAGAATTAGTCAGGTTTACATTGAGCTCCTTGGGATTGTCAGACAACAGGAATGGATCCTTCAATAGCTCTGCTGCAGGCAACCTCAAAAATGCTGGAACCAGACACTTCTCTATGAACTGTTTGAGAAGAGGGTCATTCACTCTGCCAAGAGAAGCAGGCTTTATACCCGATGTGACCTTATATAGTTTTTCATTATTGTTACACTCGGTGTATGGATATTCACAAGTAACCATCTCTAAGACGCACATACCAAAAGAGTAGATGTCCACAAGTTCATTGTATTCTTCTTCGTAAATCTCTGGAGCCATGAATCCAGGAGTACCAACAACACTTAGAGGCGGCAGTGTAACAGATGACAACCCAAAGTCTCCAATTTTAACTTCTCTGCCATTTGCACTCACAAAAACATTGTCACATTTCAAATCTCGATGAATGATGGGGGGATTGTGACTGTGTAGATAACATAAACCTCTGAGAATCTGCCTTGCCCAGCTCTTGATGTGCTACAAATCCACACACTTATTCTTCAGTAGGTATTACCTCAAGCTCCCATAAGTAAACAATTCTGTGATGATGTTGAAACTTTTGCTATCATCATCCACCCAAAAACTATCGCACTTGATGATGTTGTGATGGTTCAATGAATTCATCAAGTCAACCTCAAAATATAATCTTTCAACATCCTTTGATGTCTTCCAATCATCTGCAAGCTTCACTTGGCTCCAAGCAACTTCAATGCCATTATAACCATCAAAACCTTTAAACACGGTTTTGAATGCCCCAATTCCCAAAACATCATTATACCGTACAAACTGACTATCCGGGGATTTCTCGACAACACCCTCCATTATATGTTCATACAATTCATCATATAGACTGTCTGGGGTTTATCTGCTGACTCCAAAAACCCAGCCATGGAACTCAAACGCTCAACAGAAAATACTCAAATCAACAGAAAAAAAGAAATAGTGAAGAAAAAACCACAGAACTGACCGCCTAAACCAGTTTCATCTCGCGAAGTGAAACCCAAAAAGAATTCTTGGAGAACGCGTACACGGTATTTTGCCACCTCACACCCGAAGGGTACTCAGCGGATCTCTAACGCTGACTTGAATCGCCTTGATTCTTCGTATAAATCGAAAGACCGGTCCGTAACGGAGACTCCCACACGGAACGAGAAAGACCCTTTCAATCGGCTAAAGAGCGACCTGAATTGGAAACCTGGTTTAGAGTCCGAGTCAACTTACTGATTCACCAAAGCCCACTTTGCTGCCTAAATACATCTAAAGGGTAAAGTGCAAAAAAAAAAATAAAAAAAAAAAAAAAAAAAAAAAAAAAAAAAAAACAACCTTAAATTATAGACATTTTGTAACTAACTCCTTAAACTAAACCTTGTTCCCTAAGCCATTGATTTATTTTACCCTTTCTTATTAAATTTGTTATTTTTTATTAAATTGTTTTTTATTATATTTTCTCTCATTTAAATATTAATTATACCATTTACTTTAATTTTATAATTAGTATCAATTGATTATAAAAATGAAAAAAAAAATAAATAGATTTGTAGTTATCATTTTCTAAAATGATTAACTTATTATAATAAAACTTATTATACTCTCTTTAAAAAAAATTTAGTATAAAAAAATAACTTCTTTTTCAAACAATATTCATGAAAAATTAATAAATTACGTAAATAAAAAATATTTATTTTTAATGCAATATCTTCATGAAGATGAAGAAATTACTTAAATTGTTTCAAAATTTTCTATTTAATATTTTTATTTAAATAATTAATTTAAAAAATTAAAGGCAAACTTATGCAAATTTAATGGAGAATGTTTTATCAAATTAGTATGAATTTTGTTCATAATTTATTTGAACAAGAAAAATATATCAAGTATAATTCAATAAGAAATGGTATTATGCTCATTTAATGAAAAATAGGTTAGACAATGGGGCATTTTGCAACTAAATGTGATAACGTAGGGGGTTTTATGCGCAAAACAAAGTTCAGGGGGTTATTTGCAAATTGAGACATAGTTGAGGAGTATTTTTGGCACTTTACCCCATATCTAATGAATCCCATAGGCTTCCAAGAGTAAAAGAATTTGGATGACAAGAGTATATTGGTTTTGTGTGTGTAAGAAAATCTTTTTGTGTGTGCAATCTTCAAGTGACACTTGAAGCTTGTATTTGGGTGCGTTTTTCTCTTTGTGTAAATCATATACTATTTGAGGTATTTTTTGAGACTGTTGTGTGAGTGTTCTTTGTTGGTGAATGAGTGGTATAAGAAGAGAGATTAATGTGAGGAAGAATCAAAACGTTCTGGAGTTTGTAATCTTCTTCTTTATTGTTATACGAATATCATCGCCCGTGGACGTAACCATATTTGTGAAGGTGAACCACGCATAAATTCTAATCTCGTTTGTGTGTGTGCCTATTTATTTTTTTGTCATTAATTTTCTCTTTGTTCTCATAAATAATGTAATTAGAAGGCCAGTTGTAAGGTTACCTTATAAAATAATATAACAATATATTATATATACTGAAAAATAATATTTGCTTACTCACAGCAAAAAAAAATTAAAATTTTTTTTTTTTGCTTACCTTATCCAAATTATAATGAATGTAATCAATAGTTTGTCATACAAGTTCTGAGCCTGCATATCATTTATTTTGCTGCTGTGTGTACTCTAGGCAGGTATGTCTAATTTTGAACCTTTCTGTCTTGTAAACCAAAATCAATTCTTGCCAACAATCATGTAGCCAAAGGATTTGTATGAGTTCCTCTTGAAGGCAATCAAATTCTAAGCAAATTTGTAATAACAGTTTGCATGTAATAGTATAATATAAGAATTATCTGTTAGAAAAGCATACATTGATGAGTCCTTTAACATTCATAGATCAACTTCTATACAGAATAACAGATACGTTCGTCGGATTCAACTGAGTGTAACAAATGACAATATATCACACAGTTATTCCTTGTATTTCTATATCAAAAGGATGATGAATGTCTAAATGACTTGAGCAATGTTTATGCTGATCTATTAATCAAACTTAACTTCAGGTTGAAGTTGAGCACATCTGCCCAAAACCATGGAGATAACCGAATTCATTGAAAAACTTGAAAAATGAAAAACGATCACCACATTCTTCCTGAAGTCCCAAGTTGTCCATGTCAATAAACCAGTCAATGTGTGTCGGAAAAGATGACTTGGCTGTGAGGGAATTAAGGCACATTCTCAACGTCTCTGAAGTAAGCATGCTTAAGAGCATCCTGAGCTGTAATTCTTTTAGTTGGATTCAACGCAAACATTCGCTGGAAAAACATAAAACAGTAGCATTAGTGAGAAAAACAAGAAATCTGTTGCATTTGCTTAGTAGTAGAAATTTGAGATCATTTGTTTCATGACTGTAGAGGTCAATTTCGACAAATCTGCCTGTTGTTATAAAGTAACCCATTATTCCATGTGTGGCTATGAGGAATAATTGGTCATGGGAAAAGAAGTACTAGACCATGAAAGGATAGCTATCTTAACCATACTCTCCATCCACACAAGGTTCCCATGGTTCCTTGGGCCACCCTCATTATAAAATCCGAACTTACAGAAAGAAGATCATATCCGTCTGGTTCAAGACCTGGGACTTTCTTCTCCAGTGCAGTCATTCCAGGCCAGGTTTGATCTGGTGTACTTATAACACTAAATAAAAGAAATTAAATGTATGTAAGATTGAACAACACAATGGTATTATATCATATGAACAAACAGGGAAATGTGGTTGTGCGGAGCTATATGAAACCTGAACATTGTGTACAATTGATCATACTCAAGGCCCTGGAACATATTTTGATTGGTTACCATCTCAGCAAATATACAACCCACAGACCACACATCAATAGCAGTAGAGTATTCCCTTGAACCAAGTAATAGTTCTGGTGCCTTGTACCCAGTAGATACCACCTGGAAAGAACTTCAACAAAATGAGTAAACTTGGACTGTGGAGTAGCCATCAACCATAATTCAAAAGAAAAGAAACAAAACCACGAGTTTGGGTGTAGCACCGCTGTGGATTATGTGATAAACTTGCAACGTGAAAAGCAAAACAGTGTGACCAAGGGTTGTAGTCTAGTAATGCATCACCTTCTAAAGTAGAAGGCCGAGAGTAAGTCACCATAGGGGCAAAGTGGATGTTTGAGACTCAACTAGAGGGAAAAAAGTAATAAAAAATAAAATGTATTATAAAAGATGCTAGATGTCATGGTTTTGTTCACAACCAACTAAAATAGTTCTTCATTTTCTGAAAATATTTCATTCTTAAAAGTAGGCAAAACACAAGTTAACTTACTAGGAATGCCCAAAAGATAATAATATGCTATTCCTACAATACATGCATCTAAAGCACCTGTATTGAGGAAAAGTGTCATTTTCTAATGCTACCAAATAAACCAAATTAGCGAAAAGAGGAGCATTCATACACCACATGACTTAATGGGTCAGAAAAGCCAGTGGCTAGCAAACGCTTGCTAAAACAATCAGGTTCTTCAAAGAATGAGCTAATAAGATTGAAGGGCTGGCCACACAGTAATAAAAGTAAAACTGATACCTCGTTAGTGTATGTATTAGAGGGAACACCAATTGCCCTGGCCAATCCGAAGTCTGCAATTTTCACGATTTTTTTACCGGTATCTACCAGCAAATTCGCAGGCTTCAAATCTCGGTGGATAATTTTCTGTGAATGACAATATGCAACACCAGAGAGAATCTGAAGCAGAAGTTTCTGCACAGAGATCATGAAAATTAAATCACAAACTTAGTTGTGACATTCCAGAGCAGTATCATTGTTATCTTCAAATAAACACCAAAGCTATAGAATATAGCAGTTATCTTTCTAAATTAATAAAATGATAGTCAATGTAGCAGTGGCCCGCACTTTAATTCTTTGCGGATTCTTAGCATCGAACGTGTTGGTCTTCATGTAATCGAACAGATCACAGTCCAAATACTCAAAAACAAGAAACATGGTTTTTTCCCTGTTGAATATTTCCAAAAACCTGACAATCAGCACCCCATCAGATAATTTTGTTCAAACAATTCTAAAAAAAAAAACAGAGAGATGTTATCAATTAATTAGTTGTTGATACAAATAAAGCTGAGCCCAATAGCAAGGGCTTGTAACCAAGTGGGGCATTAAAGCGGTTGGATGTTGAATGGTGCGCACCCAACCCACCATGGGTTCGGTAGCAATCAACTCTCATGTTAAAAAAAAAAACGTATAAACTACAAAGTTTACTTAATTAAGCAGATACTTCAGATCTGAGAATTAACATGCTATCGAGTAAAGTAGTTTATTGTTGGAAGGATGCATTCTATCTGAATGGTTATCCAGTTATTCTGGCAACTGTCTCAGCCACCAGCAATGACAGAGGGCACAACATCATTTCACTCTTCATTGGCATGATTAAGATGAATCTCTTGCCTTTCTGCCAATTTAATACACATAGAAGACATATGCTTGTAGAATTGGTTGATACTAACGGGTGTTCTCAAATACCATTACATCATGTAGTGCAACTAAGTAGATTTCAAGTATGAATGTCAACTGCCAACTGAAACACCTAAAGAAATCAAAGTCCAGCCAAACACCAGGATCTTGATCGACCAAGTGGTCATAATTAGGTGAACCGGAATGATATATCAAACAGAGTAAGCTAAGACCTGGCAATTAATTTTCCAAAATGACCTCATCCACAAAAGATATGATGGTTAGAATTGATATAAAGGACATGTCTATGCATATTAACTGAGAAGGTGGCACAGTGCCTAAATAAAGTGTGGAATCTTTGCATTCAGAGTTCACTTTCAATCTCGCGTTGCACTGAATTTCCAAATGAGACACGGCATCTTTGTCACTACTTATATGTACACATACTGTAAGGAAACTGTGAAGATGGATGAGGAACCATCAAAATAAAAGAGGAAAAAAAATGAATACCAAAAGGAGCATGCTTTATTTGTGAGCAAGTGGGCAATGCAAAGTAGATTCTCCCGAGCACAAGAAAGATTCAGAAAAGGCACAAGAGATGGATCTTAAGCCCTGATCATAATAGACACTGTAAACTAATGGTGTATTGATTTGAGACGACAAGACGTGTCTAAGGACTTGTTTGTGAAGATGACATATATATCACCCAGAGAAAATCGAAATTTTTAAAGGAAACAATACGTATTGGGATGTTTTACTTGTGGAGACTGTAGAGTCTTCTCAGAATGTTCAAGCTTCATGCTTACAGACATGCTTTATGTGTCTAAAATTGAAAGAAGTCTTGTTGTTGTGTCAGTATTAAATGGGAAAGGGTTAAATTTAGAATTTGTAAAGGGAAAGTCTAGGTTAAGAACTGTAGGCAAACTATTGTAGAAGAACTAGTGGATGGCAGTTACAGATTATTAATAACAATTGTAATAAAATAATAATAGAATAATAGTTTCTCTTACATATTTGAGTCTAGTAATATTAATTCGTATATAGGGGTAATTAGGTTGGGACACATAACACCAAAGAAATAAGGTCTTGAAGGAGTACATATTGAAGCAAGATTTGGAGGACATGAAGAGGCATCATATGTCAACTGTATACGATTATAACCAGACACTGAGAATTGAGACTGAGGCAGCTGTATTTGGACCAATAGAAGTACAGTGAGAAATTCATGCAGCTGTTTTGAACTTATAAATGTAGTACTATCTCTAGCCGGTGCATAGAAACACCATTTTGAAGCAGTCTGTGTCTGCCAGATAAAAGAAGTTGCATATATTCAGAATATGACATGTGAACAAGGAAATTGAAGTTATAATCTTTTTATGACATGTACCAAACCAGAGATCTGATGTGCAGTAGGATTAGTGAGTAGATTCAGCACAAATCCAAAACAGATATCTAGGTATCTAGAAGAAACTAGCAATCTTCAACTCCTGCATGGTGAAATCCTAGGAGATATCCAGACACAGATTTTGCAGGGGTTCATAACAATTATAGATTAACAAATGGCCGCCTTGTCCAATAAATTTTGGAGTGTGTTTCAATGCATACAATAGAGGCAGAATGTGTAAGACACACTATGACAAAATTCACATCGCCAATAAAGTGCTTTATGGAAATTTTAGAATTTGGCATGCTTGAAGTCCCTATGAATGTCTTCTCTAAAAATAAAGCTTCCATGTCACTAATCAAAAGTGTTTAGTAGTGTTGTAGCTACAATTATGCAAGAAAAATAGCAAAACGAGGGGAATTAAAGTCCAACTATATACACTCTAGTGAGATGACAGTACCCTTTGACCAATGCCCTGTCATGTGAATGTTAATAAGCATGTGATGGAAATTGGATTCGATTTACCGGAGAATCATATAGAGTTGTGCTTATATTGATGATTGACTAAGGACAAAGACAGATATATGAATCAAGTTAAACTACATAGAGACTAACACCATGTAAAAAAAATACATAGGAAAACAAGGAAACGTGGGAAAGTCAATGGATAACTAAGAGAATAATCAAAGATCAAAAGTCATCTGAGCTGCAGCAATTGGCACAATAGCATCTAAAATGATTCTGTAGAATTATCTGATTCTGGCATTGGCAAGTACCCTGACTGGAATACGAAAATAGATCAGGCCAATGAAATATTATAAGGTAGATTGATTTGCAGAGACCCAGGTAACCGTGAAGCAAAAGCGTCCAGTGATTTAAATTGTTTGGCGAATGAGCATCTGGATACTTGGTTTCATATACTGATCCACAATAGGAAAGGAAAAATAGATGGAAAATAAGATCCCAATAGTAAATGATTGTTAATGCAAAAAAATTTCGTTTGTACTGAAATATTTACTTCACTAACGATCAAACCTTACACCCTTAAGTATGCTTGTAGTGCACAAATTGTATGGGTTTCATTGGTTAGTTCATAGTTCTTACATGGAAATTGATGCCCATGTGCTTTACTCTGACCGGGAAATACAAAGGAGTTTCATGTTGCAAATGTGTAAATACAGTCCCATAAAGAGGTCAAAAGCAAATCTATTTGTATAATTTCATCAAATTATTAAGTCTATATATCTTAAAAGCTTTTACTACGAGTTTGTAATGATCAACTCTGAAGAAAGACAAAGAAGTTAACTTAGTTGCAATCCAATCCATTATGAGAAGTTGATGAAGTAATGAATTTTCAGTATATTTTAGCGGAAGCCTACAGCTACCTGCCTACTAAGAATCACTGTTCCTTCACTCACTAATTCAAAACCCAATAGTCTATTTCCATAATGAACTTTCTAAATCTTCAACAATTGCATTGACACTCCTCAGCTCATAAGATAACACAAGTTCCTGCCTCATTATTGTTGCCGAGATCCAGCATAATCATGAAAGGGATAGTTCACTAATCTGCATTTTAATACTTAATTTATGAAAGCAAATTTTTCTGTGTTTTTCCTCACAAGAAGTGAGAACCCAAGCACCACAAGTGGACTAGGAGACAAATTAAAAAAAAAAAATGGAAGATTTCAATCTAGATTGATCTACCAACCATAAAATTTGTGGGCACAATTTTAAAAGTTATACACTTCTCACACATTCATTCTTAGATGATATATGTTCTTTATTAACCGTTGGGGTTCAGTCCTTTGTTCCAATAATACATTAACACGCTAAACCCAATATATAAGTGCTAAGTTTATATAATTTCTGAAGGTACGTGTTTTCCTTCAAATCCTTTAGAACAGTTTTAGTAATGATTATTTTTTGAGGATGGAAAGTCTAAGAGTGCGGCATGATCTGCGTCACATATGAATGAAATCATTTGGTGGCACAAACAATCTCAGCCCTCAATCATACCCAGAAAACTATCCGTTAGTGATCCTCCACGTTAAAAAAGACAAGATGTACCATTATCACTGACCCTATAAATTATGTTTCACTTTATGGCTACAAGGTTCTATGTTAAGCATTCTTATTGAAACCCCCAACAGAAGGAAAGAAATTGAAAAATGAAAACGTAAGGAAGTTTCAACCTGATGATATTGTCATGATTCAAATCCTTCAAGAGGGAGACTTCTCGTATTAGTGAGCTTGGGACACCTTCTTTGTCATCTGTAATACAAATAATCTTAATAGCTACAAATTTATTTTCACCACGATCACGAGCCTTGTAAACCAAACCAAAGCTGCCACTTCCTATTACTTCAGTGAACTTGTACTGTCAACACATGAAGCATAACTAAATAAATCAATATATACTTCAAATAAATAAAAGTAGCGAATTACATTAATCTGATCAGATTCCCAACCTTTTTATTCATCTGGTTGAGCTGCTCCTGCCAGATTCCAATCCATAAATTGGAAGAAGAAAAATATGTCAAGAAAAAAGAAAAAGAAAAATAGAAAGACAAATTTAAGGCCAGCCCATGATAAATGAAATAATATATACTCGAATATACTCAAGATAAATAAGCCAATACCTCCAAGTTCTCTTGAGATTAGAGGCAGTTTAGGAACTTGCTAGTTAAATATGCATTTTTTATACCTTTTTTTTTAATCTAGCTGGAGGCAGGGAGTATGTGCTGTTCCTTGCCGTAACAATTTTGGCTGCTAAACATATTTCTCAGATAAATTATATTATAAGACAGCTTCTGCTGAAGAATAGTTTGGTTGGCACCAAAGAAATCACAATTTCATCAAAACCATTTCTAGAGAAGATGCTAGCATAAAATTTCATTTTCCATAAGTTGGTGATACAATCTATGTTCCATTTCTTTCCAACCTTCTCTACGCGTCAATTTCTGAAATCCCCCACAATCTCGTTTCAGTAAATAAACAAATTGTCATCTTTTCAGCTTGACCTTATTGTATGAGATGCAGTAGCTTTATTCTGAATCCTCACGGCACTTGTCGTTTGAATACACATAAAATTTTTGATCCATGGTTTCAATTATCAATTAATTTGTTACTGTTCATCCATCTCAACAATAACCTAAAGTTTTAAAAACCTAAATGAACCCAAGTCTGATACGAACTATCCAAGATTTTGGTAGTCTTATTACACTCAATACACCATAAATCTTAAGATTCTCAAGACAACGCAAGTTTATAGCTTCTTCTTCAATAGCAACAGTACAACTGAAAATGCAAGTCAGAGAAATAGAGGGAAAGTCTAAGAAATAAAAGATTTTGCAAGTCGTAATTCAATAAATCAAAAAATAAAGATTTATTTTGTTTATTAAAAATAAAGAGCTCAACCTAACATGAATCTGTGCAAGCCGAAACAACAGGTTCTTCAATAATTTATCATATCATCAACATTTAATTAGACAGATATAGGATTTCTCTGCAGGTACATATAACATTGTTTTCGACAATAATCAACAAAAAGCCAAATACAACTTAAATGATGAACTCAGAGTCATTGATTGTAAGGATTACAAGAAATGAGAGTGCAAAATCATCAAATACAACGCAAAATCGATCAAGAATTTCAACAAATAAGTTGCATAATTCAAATTCAACAATAATCAACAAAAAGCCAAATACAACTTAAATGATGAACTCAGAGTCATTGATTGTAAGGATTACAAGAAATGAGAGTGCAAAATCATCAAATACAACGCAAAATCGATCAAGAATTTCAACAAATAAGTTGCATAATTCAAATTCTAAATTAAATATAATGCTGCAGGTTACAGAGTTTTAGAGAGAGAATTAACTTTACCAAAGAAAGATTGGGATCTTGATCTTCCATTGTCTTTGAAGATAACAGTAGAGAGAGAGAGAGAGAGAGAATCTATTCTGTTATATTTGTATGAAGTTGTGTGTATCAGTATGTGTCATAATATTACTATATATATATATATATATATATATATATATATTTTGTAGAGAGAGATAGAGAGACAGAGACGGTAAAGGCCAAGTGGACGAAACGATTTTTCCCTCCAAGGGGCTCCTTCGCTAACAGACGGACCCGCCAACCCACCTAGCCTTCACGGGGATCCTTTTAAAGTTGGGGGGCCTTGGGCCTTTTGTGAATTTGAATGATTTTTGAATCTAATTAACCCAGTTAGGTTGAAACCAGCTTAGGTCAAATTTCAGAATTCATCTTAGACTAGTATTTGCATATTTTTTTTTTTTTTTTTTTTTTTTGGAATTGTAGTGTTCTCAACATTATAATTATTACATTTACCCAATATATATATATATATATATATATATATATTATTACAGTTTATTTTATTTTTTCAAGGCAATCTACTTGCTTATTGGAGTAATGATGTTGATAAAATATATTTTCAATCAAATTAAATTATATTATAATGTATTATTTTTATTTTAAAATGATGTGTTGAAACATGATTTACTTTTTTTCATTCTAAGAGTCAAAATTCTAAAGATTCATCTGGAGTTGAAATCTTTTACTGTTGGGAATCGTTGTTCTCTCCACATGATGTAAAGATTTTAATACAGTTAAATCTCTAGTAAGTAATAACCTACCATATCTTTGTTTTTTTTTTCGTAAGGTAAACCTACCATATCTTTGTTTTTTGAAAGGAAATATTGAGACTAGTGTAGGTTAAAATAAACTATATTATATATTAGTCATTCCGATCATATGTTAAGTCATATAAATCAAGAGCGACAGTCAATGGGAGAATGAGAGCGTGAAAACGATAAAATTAAATTTCAAATAATGAAAATGAGAGTTAGAACGTATGCAAAGCATAAAAATAAAAATATGTTGGAAGTGTAAAATTGACACTCATTTAAAAAGATTATGCAACTGTCTATGCCTAAGTTTTACCCGCGTCACTTTTGATAGTCGGTGGGGGGTTATTGCTAATCCCACCTTTTCTCTCTTGGGTGAGTTCAGATTTTTTGTCAATAATAATTAATTTAATAGGTGTATGGGGTTGTCCATATTCATCAATTGATAAATCTTTTTTTCTTGTACAGCTAGCCAGTCATGGATCAAAACCATATCCAAATAAAATAAAGCATCTCAAATTCAATTTAAAAACTTAGAAAACTATGCTAAAAAGTATACCATATTACCATATAATGATGTGTACTACCCTATCTTAATTGAACCAATTTCTGGCCATGAGCATTTAAAATTACCGTTCCTAAACTAGACAATGGTTATGCGAATAAATATGTTAGGTCATTTCCCGCACCTACGGGTTCTCTATCGCTCCAATGCACCAAGTGCATGAAACTTGGAAAAATGTGGAGTCTGTCTCATAAATAAGGTAAAGTACAATAAACTCTCCTTGATTATAAATTTTTTTCAATAAATCCTTTTTATCTAATTTTTTTATCAAAGAATTCTCCTCTAACTATCCGAGGGGGGTAAAAGAGTAGATATTTGGACCAAAATGGCCTTATTGTTATTTTATTTAAATCCTAATTTATCTGAACTTCAAAAATTCATATCTCACAAACCGTATTTCTAAAAATTACAAATAATATATGCATAGAAATCTTATGATTCAAGGATTCCATAAATATACGATTTGTGTAATAAGTCACCATAACCAGAAAGAAATAGGCAATCTAAAAATCTACTCCAGTAATTTATGTTATTTTTAATAAATATAACACTAGGGATATTTGCATATAAAGTAACCCCAATAGAGACCGATTTCATGAGATATCATATTGTGAGGTATTTTTATTTTCTTATAGACTCGCCATTTTAAATAATATATATCAAAATAAATAATCGGTCTCTATACGTTATATTCTATACGTAAATGAATAATTCTAAAAAAAATCTTGTAAATATCCAAAGTGTTTTATTTTCTAAAATAAAATAAGGAGGTGTTTAGATTGTCCATTTTTGCCCGGTTATAGTGGCATGTTGTACAAATATTATATTTATGGAAAATTTGTTTCATAAGCGTGTATATATTATTTGTAATTTTTGTATGTACGGTTTGTTAGATATGAATTTTTGAAGTTCAGATGAATTAAGATTAAAATAAAGCAGCAATAAGGGCATTTTGGTCCAAACATCCACTATTTTACACCCTTAGATGGTTGGAGGGGACTCTTTGGTAAAAAATTAGACAAGGAGAATTTACTAGAAAATGTTTATAGTCAAGGGGGGGTTTATTGTATTTTGCCCTAAATAAATAATCAATAAATTAAATTGTTTTTTTACCAATAATGATAAAAAATAATAATAATAATAAAACACACCAGCTATTAGAAAATTATTTGGATTCTGTAGTGATGTAAAATTAGAGGTGTGTGTGTGTGTGTGTGTATATATATATATAATACATTTTATTTTGCAACTTGAGTCTTTACTTGCATGAATTTCAAATCTCGTTACACCTAATTATTAGAAATACAAATACATAATTATTTCATATCCATTCATCTAGAATCATTTAAAATATATCAAGTTATGTCTCCTACGTAATTGAACTTAATTTAACTCATTTGAAAATCCTGTAATTTAAACAGAACCTAAATAAAATTTGTTCAAATTCATCTCACACATGATCATAAACATTGTGAAACTTAGAATGTGCTAAAACCTTCAAGGTTTCAACCACCAAGTTACCAACCCAACCCAACATATAACCTGAGCTCATGTACTTAAAATTTGGATTTATTTTAAAATTAAACAAAAAGGTAAAGTTAAAAAAAAAAAAAGGTCTGCTATATACAAAATTAGGCATATACGACTATGCCTAATTTTATATATAGCAGATTTTGGTAAAAAAATAATAATAATAAAAAAAATTACTATTTAATATGTGCCTGTTAACTTTTACTAATTTATTTATTTATTAAAACTCTAAAAAACCCTTAATAATCAATATTTTTAAATTTTATTTTGTCTTAAGGGCGTTTTAGATATTCCAATATTCATATTGGCAAAATATTATCATTTGCTCGAAAAATGTAAGGATTTTATTTTTATAATTTTTATCACCACTAGGGCTATTTGCACATCTCATATGACAGGTTGGTTTGTTCTTTTGTTTTTGTTTTCTTTTGTTTTTGCAGTTTACTTCAAACAAAATTGAGTTGAAAATCAAGTATTGAGTCTTTTTAGGATTGGATTATTTCTATGTATTAAAAATAAAATATTTCCTTGTTTTTGTAAGTATAGAAAAAGTCATAATTAAACTCGAAGAGATTAATAATTTAAGGGATCAATTCACAAGAAATCAAGATTTAAAAAAATAAATAAGAAACAGTTGGAGTACTAAGCTCTGTTTGTTTATGTGAGACTTGTGTCCTTTTGTTTGCAGGAGTTTTTGATTTTGGTTTTTGTTGTTGCTAGATTTTGGAAATAGGCCTTTTTAAGCCATTTGTTTTGTAAGGATGAGATTAACTTTTGTTTAGCTCTGGTTTGGTAATAAAATTTTACTTATTTACCAGTAATATTTACAGGGGGTAGAATCTAGGGTTAAAGATGAGATTAACTGTTCACATTCACTGTAACCCTAATCCATATCCATAAACATTTCTCGATCTGTACGCGTTTTTAACTTTTTACTCACCCCGCGAACAGTTTCGCGTGGTTTTCAATTTTACTGCGAAAAAACAAAAAAGCATATAAAAACGATAAAAAAATAAAAATAAAAAGCGGAAGTCGATTCAGAATAAACCGTACTCTTCTTGCTTCATTTCCAATCCACCGATATACAAATCTCTCTCAAATTTCCCAAATCTTATTATCAAACTCAATCGTCCCACTCTTCAAATCTTTCGATCTCTTAGTTTCTACCCAAATCTCTGGTTCTTGAGAAGACAGTTTTATTTTCTGATTCTCGCTCATGGCTGGCCGTTACGATTCTAATCCTTTCGATGAAGAAGAAGTGAACCCTTTCGCTGTAAGTTATTTATACATATATGAATATATTGTGTATGTATATGAATATATTGTGTATGTATATGAATATATTGCGTGTGTATAGTCAATTGTTCGAATCCACATAGTAGGATAATATACTTTTCGAATGTGTGTTTTGATGTATTGAGATGTATATTATTGTGGTTTTGGATTTCGATGTTTGGAGTATGGATTTATTGAGATTTTGCTGAATGCATTTAAATAAACGAATTTTATGGTGGATTGTAATGGTTTCTTACCTGAATTGCCAGATCTGTGTCTGGTACTTGTTTTTGGCTTTGAATTGGAGTGCCTATCAAGATTGATGCGAATAATTCTTTTGTTTCTCCACACTTTCTTTTTTTTATCAGAATTTTTAATCGTCTGTTAGATATAGTATCAGTTCGTTCGTGATGTGCTGTTTGGCTGCTGAGAAACTGTCTGAGAGAAAAAGTTGGACTATGATTCTAAGAAGTTATCATTACTCCTTAGGGACTGAGAAAACAAAAATTAGAAAATAGAGGAGAACAAAATTGTATCTAGTAGAACTAATTTGCGATTTTACCTGTGTATTTATTTATTTTTTGCTTAATTAATAGCAGTGAAAAGTAAGTTGGAAAAAAACTTTTGTTATAATGGTTTAAGTGTTGTATTTTTATTACGAGAATTATCTTTACAAGCAGCTTTGAAGGATGGATTGTTTGGTTTAAGTTGTTCTAGTTGTCAATACTTTTAGAGTCTCCGTAGAGGCATGCTATTTGTTCATTTAACCTTTATTAGAGTTCCAGAATTCTATTAAATAATAATTTGTATGCGATATTACAGATCACTATATTCTTCTTATGTATTTCATTATGTGTGCATGAGTGCACATTGCATCTTCTTCACTCATGTGTTAGGTATTTACTATAGTACTATATATTTATTGTGTAGTGTTTTTTCCTGGAAAAGGGGGGAACGATAGAAATGCATAGCTGCACAGGTTATAAAATTTGTGTTGTATATGTATTTGTGACATAATTGTGATAAATGTGTTTCACCATTTAATTCTGATGCCATCAACTATGAGTATGTCCACAGGATGTATGTGCCTTTAGAAACTATAAGAAGCTAAATATTCTGGTGGTTTAATCTTGGAAGTGGATGAAGTGGTTTTAGATATGTAACTAGATTACTCTATTTGTGCTTCACATTATTGACCTGAGAAAAATAATGGATGATTTTTTACATTATGTTCATTAATAAGTTACATTGTTTTTATTGATTTCAGGGCCAAGCAGGTCAAGGGAAAAAGGCAGGTCAATCAAACTATGGTGGAGGTGCATTTTATATGACAGTAAGCCTTTTATTTTTTGAATACTTTTATAGATATTTCTGTTCTCTTTAAAATGACATTCTTTTTATTGAGAAACACTGAGAATAAGTCACTTTGTCTTATTGGTTTACTTGGTTGGAAATTTAAAAGAATTTCCTACAATATGCATATAAATAAAATGTTGTCTAGTTAAGTGGTAATTTTATAACTAATTTACTTAGAAAAGTTGTATGTTGATTTTTTTTTCGAAGTTCAATATTGCAGCTAAGTTTACAGTTGTTGCTTCTAACTGTAACTCCCTCATTCTTAGGAGGGCAATATTAAGCTTATCATTTCTGTATGTCTCTGTGGCAAGAAGCATTTATTACGATGCCAGACGTATGGGTAGTTAGTGTGTAGATGTGGATCCTCATTTTCATTGCATTCTGCAACCATCTTTGTCATCATGTAACAACAATGCTTGTGAATAACTTTTCATTTTAGGAGATAAAGATATGATATAAAAGGAGATAATGATACAATAGCAAAAGAATAGTGATGATGCGATCAGTAGAGAAAAAAATATCTAATAAAGATTTTAGTAAAATAAATAAAGATTTGGGAAAAATTAGAAACACATTAAATAGGGAGGAAAGAACAGAACTTTAGAAAAGCAGAGAGAAATTTCTGGGGAGAGAGTGATGCAGGAAGGGGAAAAGAGAGAGAAAAGATATTGAAAAGAGGTAGGAAAAGGAAGAAAAAAGAAAGAGAGAAAAGAAGAGAAAGAAAGAAAAAAAAGTTTTTTTTTTATTTGATTCAAATATAATTTTACCCTTTGCTTATTCTTCCATTTTTATTATGTTATGAATGAGTTATTGCATGCAAGAGGTATGAGTTTTACAAAAATTTACATCATAATTTTAAGGTTAAAGCATGTTTGTATGTATTGCAAAATACTTGGCATTTTGTATATGTACTTTAGCTTCGGAGTACAATTAATGCTTGAATTTTTGTGATGTGCATATGGTGTACATTACCTCAGTTTGAAGCAATTATTATTGTTATTTTAAATAGGCTTCCTAATTTACAACTTTAATTTTTAAAGAAAAAATATATTTTGTTCTTTTTTTTAATATCCAGCATCATCTCAAAACCCATGTTTTGTCTTGAGCATGATCTGTTTCACAAACAAGTCTTCTTACAAAACAAAGTGGGAATGTAAGTTCTTTTACACCCAAAAGCCAATTGATTTCAACCATATTCATCAAAACTTCCAGATTTTGAAGCCATGTAATAATAATGTAATAGAAGCATATAATTTTAGGCAAAATATTAACCTTGGAGCGTAAAATATTTTTTTTATCCTCCTTGGATTGCACACATTTAAGATTTAATCATCAAAACCAAAACCTTAGAGCCTACCATGAATGTATTTTGGAAACTATAATGCATACATGGACATTTCATTTGTTTTGCTATATATAATTGCATATTTTAATTTGAAAAAAATGTTGTAACTTTTCATAAAGATCAATGTATTTTGCGTATAACAATTACTAACATGCTTAAAATACCTAATCTAACTAAAAATTTAAATATGCAAAAGAAAAAATATAAGCATGCAAGAATGGCAGTGGTACTAGCCAGATGTTTGATGGTGACAGATTGCCGGATGTGTTGATAGGTTGCCAAAAGTAGTTGCCAGATGATCAGGGTCAACGTGGTAATGGATCATTACTCATTAGAGGTGGTGATTGTGTCATGGAGCCCTTGTCTAATGGCTGGTTGGTGGTTTTGGTGATTTGGAGGCGGTGTTTATGGTGGTAGTATTACTAATGACTTGCTAACAGTTTTGATGCTGGTGAGATTGCAGCAGTGGCAGTGATGACAAATTAAAGGGGAGACTGGTTGCTCTAAAGTTTCCAGTTTCCTTGACACGAATGTTGGTAGAGGTAAAGAAGATGGTAGCGTTTGCAATGAATAATGGACATGGATAAGCACTGGTCACTACGATGATAATGATAGGTGATTGAGGTGGTGATAGTAACGTAATGTTCTAAGCTGAGGTGGTGGTTGTGGTGGCCTCGTGCTAGTTTAATGGCAGTAATGGTAGCTTGTTAGGAATAATAATGTACTGGAGGTGGATGGTGCTGTTTGTTGTGGATGCAGTTGTTATGGAGTTATTGGCTGCCACTCAAACATGAGATCGGAATTAGGGGTCCCAGATTCAAATCTCACCTCTAACTTAATCTTTATTCCTTGAATTAGATGCAGAGTTAATGTGCTTCTCATAAAATGTGCTTATCCATGGCTCTGCTAGCTTCCTTGCTTGATGAACACTTTCCTATCAGAATACTCTGTCTAGGTTATACACATGCTCGGTATGATGACATGACTTGCTGTTTAATGCTTAAACATCATGATGCACTTGAGTCACTTGTGTTTGCATAATGCATGTGCTCTTTCTATAGGATTTTCTTATTTCTTGTTTGTGCTATATTTTATTGCATTTGGGGTCCCAGAATCCTGCAAGTGTTCCCCCTGCAACCTCAAGGCTTTCACCCCTATCTCCTGAACCTGCTGACTATAATCGAGGTGCCACAGTTGATATTCCTCTTGATAATGCAAAGGTATGTGGAAGTTTCATAGATGTTGTATTACCTAGCACAATTATGCTATTTGTATTTTGCGACGCTCAAACTAAGATAATTATATTATCCTCTGTTTAAATTTAGGACGTGAGAACAAAGGAGAAGGAACTTCAAGCAAAAGAGGCTGAATTGAGAAAGAGGGAACAGGTACTTGCTTGTCCTGATTCACATGGTAGCTTCTTTGCATGGTTAATTAATTAATTTAGAAACTATAAATTATATGCACTAATTTATGATGCTAATCTTGAGTTTGCTTGTTAATTACAATTTTAAGTTGGGAGTTGAGACATCTCTGTAGTTGTAGTGGAAGTTGGTCAATTATAAATGTTTTTTCTTTTTTCTTTTTTTCCCCCAGTAAGTCAGTCAATATTAAATATTGGTTGGAAAGGAATAATATTTATCTGCTTGTGGGATGGTTCCTTGGGTGAAATTAGTATATTGTAAAAAAAAAAAATTGGTGGCTTTTATTTTCATCTAATATATCCTTGTGGATTGCCTGATGATCTATCTCAACCTGGTTCTGTATTGGATGACTAATTTGCATGCATGACAAAAACATCAAATTACAAATCTCTTGCGCTTTCAGGCATTATCTATTTATCTTGTAATCAGTTATGAGTTTTCTTGATGTTATGCAGGAAATAAAAAGGAGGGAGGATGCTGTAGCAAGAGGTAGTTCTATTTTCTATATATGTTTGTACATTAATATGGGTTGTTTTGCATTGGCCTGTAATCTTCAACATGAATTTTTTCGTCTTGTTTGGCAGCTGGAATTGTTATAGAAGAGAAAAATTGGCCACCATTCTTTCCAATTATTCATCATGACATTGCAAATGAAATCCCAATCCATCTACAGAAGATGCAGTATGTTGCATTTACAACTTTTTTGGGTATGTTAACTGCAAATCCTGTTTTATGGAACTAGGTTCATTATTTCTTTCAAATATTTAAATGGTATTTGTTTGTAGAGAATACATATCCATTTTATTTATCTTCAGATGTAGGTAATTGATGTTGGAATTAATTTTGAAGTGCCTGATGAATCCAGAGGCATTTTAGTCAAAGTAGGGGGCCCCTAATATCTATGAGATCATATATACAACTGGACACTTCCTTATATTATTTCACCCAATTGTCGAGGTTATATTATGTCTATGTGTATATGTGTGTATAAGTATATTGTTTGAATTTTTGTAGCTCTTCTTCTTCTCCTTGTTCTTCTTCTTATTGTTTATTGGGTTAAATTCACAAAACCCCCTTGTACTTTCATTTTTTGACACTTTATCCCCTGTACTACCAAAAAGTTTCATATAAGGACAAAATTGTCATAAAACCGTTAGTTGACAAATAAAATTACCAAAAAGGCATTCCTTTATTTAAACAAATTTAAGAGTTAAATTCACAGAAACCCCCTGTACTTATATTTTTTTGACACTTTACCTGCTGTACCAACAAACCACCCAACTATACACACACATAATTTTGCATTTACATTGTTTATTCATTATCGAAATATCAAAATATAATAATTTTGCATTTATAGGCCTTAGAAACCCTTATTGAAGTCCTAAAAAGATTAGAAATCAATTAGGCATGTAGTATTTGGGTTGAGTTCTCATCCCACTCAGATTTGAATCGGGTCCAAGTCATGTTAAAACTGAATCTGGGCAAGTTCTACCGGTACAAGACCATTTTGGACTATATTCAACCTGTAGAAGAAAATATTCTACAGATACAACTTCATTTTTGGAAAATTTTCGGAGACTGCACAGAAGACCTGACATTTTTTAGTTAGCAGAGTGAACTTGAAATTAAGAGTATAATATATCATTGGAAAGCTTGTTGACTCGGTTTTCTAACCATATAAAGATCATTGTGAAACTCCAACTATGGAATGCGATTTCAAGGTCCACTCGAATCATGTTGTCAAAATATATTTTTACTCAGGAAAACATTTCAAAACCTTTTTTAAAGTGCCCAAATCATCCTAGGTCAATATATGAATTTTATCAATGTTTGAAACCTAAGTCAAAGGTGGTCCAAAGTATCTAAGTCCATACCAACCTATTTCCCGAGTTCTCTAAGATTTAACCTACGTTTTCATAATGTGATTGAACTTCATGGAGCATTTTGTTGAGATATTTAGAAGTAACTTCCATCTATATACTTCAATCCTCATTTTGAGCTTTATTTTTATCAGCAAGGTGACCGGCAACTCATGACCATCAAGAATCACATTACAATTTTGTTCACACACCGTGGCATAAAACGTAACTTTGGAACGGAATTTGCCAACATTTTATTCTGTTGAACTACCAAAATGTTCCAATCATACATAACCAGGAACATTTTGGTATTCCAATCATTCACTACTAGAGGCTGAACCTTGTCAGTGTGAGTGAATGGAACAGACCCTTTACATGCAAGTTTGCACGTGCTTGGAGTTGGGATAGTGGTTGATTAGCTATTGGTTGCATTGCAGGAACAAAGATGTGCTCAATTCCACTTATAGAATATTCTATTGTTGTATTTATGTGTTATTATATATATATATATATAATTATTCATGAAATTAGCTCTCTCTCTCTCTCTCTCTCTCTTGTAGGGGTTCAAGGTGGTGTCAGGTAGGAGCAGAATAAAGTTGGCTACCTGAAGTGGTGTTCTAAATTCCAATTAAATATTTTAAAATTTTCTTGGGAATTTTTTGAAGTTATGACATTTGATGTTGCAGCAGAAAATTAAATTATTAGTGCATTGGAATTCAATATATTGAGGCCACACTTTTATAATCTTTCTGATACTTACTCACAAAGTAGGCAGTATTTGGTTCAGATATTGTTTTAGTAAGGCGAATCTTTTAGCTCAATGTAGGAATTTTTTGTTGAGTTGTCTTTAGGTGGATTTTGTATGGTTCATTTTTTATTTTTTATTTATTTGAAAAAATTTCTAATCTGAAACCAGTCAAGATGGTTTTTAGTGAGTTGATTTTTTTAACACTGTTGAACTTTTGTAGGTTTGGTATTGTGTCTTCTATGGAATGTTGTGGCAGTTACCACTGCTTGGATCAAAGGGGAAGGTTGGTTTGGCTATTTCGCATGGCCCCCTGGAATTTTCTGCTGATGTTTCTATTTGAGCACCAATCTCAACTTCTCTTTTTCTGTAGGTCCAACTATTTGGTTGCTTTCTGTTATCTACTTCATAGCAGGGGTTCCGGGAGGCTACGTGTTGTGGTATCGTCCTCTTTATCGTGCTATGAGGTATTGTTTTCTGTGCTTTCTGTTTTTAATATTCTTTCTTTTTCGTTTGACTTTGTGGCATTGCCCACCATTAGAGAAAGACTGATATGAGGGTTTGTCTACATTTTTAAGGCCTGTGAAACTACTGGTCTGTACACCAAGCATTCAGATTTTAGTGTTTTGTGGGGTCATTTGGATTGAAAATAAATTGGAAGGGCCATTGCTTAAAAGTGTTTGCTTTCATGCATATTATGTGAGAGCTAATATACATGTTCTGCTCAAGTTTTTGGGGTAGCAGGTTGACAAATGTAGTGACATGTTAATGAACATTTTGAACACTAGGATATTTTTGTTGCACTTATTAACTAACATTCGTTGTAGGTTATTGTAGCCTCTTGTTTTGTGCTTCTCCTCCAGTATATATCAAAATTATTAGAATGGGACGAGTGGTAATTCCATAGACGATTGTTTCAATCCATAGATGTGATGTTTGGTCCACATTTTATTTAGTATATTTACCTTTTAGTAGTAATAATATATTCCTTTTGACATCGGATTCTTCCTGTGCTCTGGTGTGTAATTGTACTCTAATTTACAGGACTGATAGTGCTCTGAGGTTTGGGTTGTTTTTCTTGTGTTACCTGGTAAGTTCTTTTTTGTTAATGTAGATTTTCTTCTCTTTGGAGGGGTTATAGACGCCTCACTTTTGTTCCTTTGTTTTCTCCATGCAGCTTCACATTGGCTTCTGCATCTTTGCTTCAGTTGCTCCTCCTATTATTTTTAAGGGGAAATCTCTCACGTGAGTTTTCTTTTTCATATATGATTTTCAGAGGATTTGGCAAGCAGCATGGTGTCTTTTAGCTTTTAAGTTTAGTTAATCTGTTGAGAAAAGAAAGCAATATTCTTGACAAAGAAGTAATTTCTTTTCCAGCAAAAACATTTGATATTGTTGATAACTATATGCAAAAATATGATTGGGAAAGAGTGGGAGCTCATAAGACCTTGTGTGCAGATTTACAAGATTTGTACATAGAATTTGATTCCATGTCAATTTCTATTGAAACTGGTTGCATTAGAAGATGCGGCAAAAAGTCTATTTTTACTACGTATTATGGAAGCTCTCATGTTTGGAGATTTATCTGTTGCATACAATTGCACATTATGGGGACTTATCACGGCTTGATTATGGCTTTGTATTTGTCAGGATATGGTAGGACTACTGGATTGTCATTGAATGACATATTCCAATAGCCTTTTATCCTCAGTAGGCCTGACTTGCCATTGCTCGGTGGAACTAAATTTCTTGCTAACTAGTCTTTTTCCCAGTTGAGCTAGCTGAGGCTATTAACACTTATTTCCCATCATTAAGTGAAGCATGTCAACCACACTTGGTCATTCCAATTTCTAACTACTCTTATTGATAAGAACTAATAATTATTGTGGAAATTTTATCCATTGCATTTTCGTGCAAAACAAATTGACTGATATATGTTGTATTCTGTATCTGACGCTTTTATCTTGTGTTTTTGTTACAGAGGAATCTTGCCTGCAATAGATGTTTTAGGTGATCATGCTCTGGTTGGGGTAAGTATCAGTATTTTGTGACACATCAATCATTTCACTAGATACTATATTTGCAGAAACTTCTTGTTATTACTTTTAGCTAAGAATGAATTAAGTTGATTTTTAAATTGAACCAAGTGTAGCTATTAGTGAATTTTGATTCCTTATAATTTGTAAGATTTAGGGTGAAGAAATGGATATCCATTATACTAGTGTAGATCATTTCACTTCTGAGAGAACGTGGCACTATTAACATTTCCTTCTTACTTGCAGATCTTCTACTTTATTGGATTTGGATTATTCTGCGTCGAGTCACTCCTCAGCATATGGGTTCTCCAGGTTCGATAATCTCGCTCTAATTTCTGCTTCTCTCCGGTACACTATTACTCTATATTCTTTCTTCTGAGCCTCTCTATTCTTTGCCTGAATGTGCAGCAAGTTTACATGTACTTCCGAGGTAGTGGCAAAGCTGCACAGATTAAGAGTGAGGCCAGAAGACAGACTATGATGGCAGCACTATGACATGGCACCACAAATTCTTTGGTTGGAAAATGCTAAGAAACTGAGTTTTGTTTTTAATTTCTCTCACATCTCACACTGCTTGGTCTGATTTTAAGATTTCTGGTGTAATTTCTTAAATAGTACATGTATATTAAACACGTTGGTTTTGCAGTGATAGGGGCTTTTGGTTCTTTTGACGCCAATCTTTATAATTGTTTTTCCAGATTCTTATTGAAAGTGGTGTTTTATTTTCATTCCTCTTGATTGTTCGTTCGAACCAGAGACGTAGCTTTCAGGCTTAGAAACCCCAATTTTTGTGACTGACCTTTTAGGTGGGTGAAGCTTTTTCAGTATTAAGTGCAAATTTACATTAGTTGTTGATCCTTTTTTATTAAAGCCTTGTTAGCCTAGTTACATACCATGAGGAAAAAACCAAGAAAGTGTCCCTTCTGTTTATAGTTTTTCTTCATAGGTAAGAAAATGTCTATATTTTTATTTTGTTTCATGGCAAGAATGTTAGGGATTAGTGGTTAGAGGAGAGGGGTGGGTGTAATGCTTGAAGACGGGCTCTTAGACTCGGAGAGCAATCCTACCACCCAACCACTCGGACAACACTACATTAGCTTTCTAAAGTTTGGGTTAATGATTCCGTATATATATATATTTTTTTATACTACCCTCTCAAATATTATGTGGTATATATATTGTAGGTAAATTGCCTCAACTCGCTTGATGCTTGAAAATATTGGATGTAACCTTGGCTTTGCCAAATTACAACGATGAATTGTGCTTTTCTATAGTCGTGGGATCAAAGTCTTCTTCGTGTGATGGTATAGTTTTACTATATTTACTTTGAATTTTCACCAATTACTCTGAACTTTACTACCCATTCAAAATATCGAATACATTCATAAATTTTTCCTACAATTTAGTGGGAAGCACACTGGAGGCGGTCTAGACTCTAGGGTTCTACGATTACGTTAGCTTGGCGCTTGGAAATGTGATTGCAACAATTGGAGATAAAAAAGGGGTAAAATTCATCTAGACCCTTCAGGTTTGTGTATACTTCAATTAGACCCCTTCACGATGTCAAAGAAAAGAATGAAATGTCTAATCTACCTTATTGGAGGGAATGAGAAAGGCAATTTGGGCATTATAATTTATTTTGCCGAAAAAGTAAAGAATTTGACTGAAAATATACCAACTGAGAAAATCCAACTGATGTATAGAGTTAGATGAATTTTATCGACGAGAAAAAAATAATAGTGGTAAAGGTTATTTTGTTTATAAGAGATATTGGATACACGGGAAAGGAAATGACTAATTATATGAGTGAAAGTGAAAGTAATAAAATAGGAATTCATTTTATAAGTAATAGAAAAAAGAATTTTTTATTTTTATTTTTTTTGATGATTACAAACTTACCCAAGGGTTATAGCTAGTAGTAATTGTTTTAGTAGTAATATGTTTGATGGTTCAAGCCTCCTTGGTGGTGACTCTAGTAAAGTGGCGTGTTTTATTTGCAAAGATAAAAAAAATAAATAAATTACTAAATAAATAAATAAAAATAAAAAATCAAATCTTGCCATCAGTTCTCTTTATTTTCTCCTACTTCCAAGTAAATATATTATTATTATCATCCTTCGTACTTTCATTTTCTCTCTGTAATATTTATTTTTTATCCTTCCTTTTTCTTCTAAATTTTTAAATAATGAGTCTAATATTTTCCTCGTTTTATTTTCTTTTTCTTTTCAATTTCCAACTCAATAAGGTGAGTGGGACTCAGGCAGGAGCTATTTCTGCGAGGTCCATATTGCCACCCTATTTATTTAAGCACACATATATGTATATATGTGTATGCATCTACGCTTTGTTCCAGTACCCTTTTTTGGAGAACGAAAAAGCAGGATGTTTCACACTTGCGGCTCCAGAGAACTAGGACATGAAAATCTCCAGAACTCAATTCAAATTTACATCTTCACTTCACCATGTAAGTTTCGAAACCTTCACTATTCTCTCAACACAAGGGTTTCTCTAGGGTTTAATTTGTATAATCAACACAGCTCAGTTAAAAGACGAAATTGTTCTTTGCATTCTGTATCTCCTTCCTTAAAAATCGACCAAACCCTTGACGAGATTGTGAATTTACATACTGAGAAGCAAAACTCTAGAGTAAATAGGGTTTCTACGGGGTTTAAGCTTCAAACTCATTCTAGGCCAGTGGTTTTGCCAACACGAACTGCAATCAATGGTAAGAAGAAGAGGTATGGAGGCGTTTTGCCTTCGATTTTACGGTCGTTGGAGTCCGAAGATGACATCGAGAAAACCCTTGATTTGTATGATGGGCAGCTCAGTCCCAAAGAGCAAACTGTGATTCTCAAAGAGCAGAGGAGTTGGGAGAGGGTTTTTAGGGTTTTTAAGTGGATGAAATCACAGAAAGAGTACTTGCCCAATGTAATTCACTATAATGTTGTGCTTCGAGCTCTTGGCCGGGCTAAAAAATGGAACGAGTTAAGGCTGTGCTGGATTGAAATGGCTAAAAATGGTGTCTTGCCTACGAATAACACTTATGGTATGCTTGCTGATGTGTATGGAAAAGCGGGTCTTGTTAAAGAAGCACTCCTGTGGATTAAGCACATGAGACTAAGGGGAATGTTCCCCGATGAGGTCACGATGAATACAGCTGTTCGAGTTCTGAAGGATGCAGGGGAATATGATAGGGCAGATAAGTTTTACAAGGACTGGTGCGTTGGCAGGATTGAATTGGATGATCTTGATCTAGATTCTATGGCTGATTCTGAATCTGGGTCGTTCTCGGAACCCATTAGTTTGAAGCACTTTTTGTTGACTGAGCTTTTCAAGACAGGTGGAAGAAACCCTCCTTCGAAAATTCTGGTTTCATCGGAAATGGAGAGCTGTGTTAAGAAGCCCCGACTTACAGCTACTTATAATACTTTGATTGATTTGTATGGGAAGGCAGGTCGCTTAAAGGATGCAGCTGATGTGTTTGCTGAAATGCTAAAATCTGGAGTGGCAGTGGATACTTTTACTTTCAATACTATGATCTTCACTTGTGGAAGTCATGGGCATTTGCCAGAGGCAGAATCTTTGCTTAGTAAGATGGAAGAAAGGGGAATATCACCTGACACCAAAACTTACAACATCTTTCTATCTCTGTATGCTGACGTGGGGAACATGGATGCATCTCTTCAGTGTTACAGGAAGATAAAGGAAGTTGGTCTTTTTCCTGATGTTGTAACCTATAGGGCTGTTCTACATACATTGTGTGAGAGAAGCATGATTCAAGAAGTAGAGGCTGTGCTTAATGAAATGGACAAATCTGGTGTGCGTATTGATGAGCACTCTCTTCCTGTTGTTATTAAGATGTATGTTAATGAAGGATTGCTTGAGAGGGCAAAAATCCTTCTCGAGAAGTGCCAGTTGGATGGTAGGGTGTCATCGAGGTCATATGCAGCTATAATAGATGCATATGCTGACAAGGGACTTTGGGCTGAAGCTGAGGCTGTCTTCTACAGGAAGAGGGATTTAGGTGGACAGAAGAAGGATGTTGTGGAATATAATGTCATGATCAAAGCATATGGTAAGGCAAAGCTTTATGATAAAGCTTTCTCACTCTTCAAGAACATGAAAAATCATGGGACTTGGCCGGATGAATGTTCTTATAACTCTATCATTCAAATGTTTGCTGGGGGTGATTTAGTAGACCAAGCAATGGACCTTTTAGCTGAAATGCGAGCAGTGGGATTTAAACCCACATGTCTAACATATTCTGCTGTTATTGCAAGTTATGCTCGTTTGAGCAGGCTTTCTGATGCAGTTGATGTCTATCAAGAAATGGTAGGAGCAGAAGTAAAACCAAATGAAGTTGTTTATGGATCTTTGATTAATGGATTTTCAGAAGCTGGCAGAGTTGAAGAAGCTCTTCACTATTTCCACATCATGAAAGAATTTGGCATTTCTGCAAATCAAGTGGTTCTAACCACCCTGATTAAGGCTTATAGTAAGGTTGGGTCCTTGGAAGGAGCAAAACAACTGTATGAGAAAATGAAGGATTTGGAGGGTGGCCCTGATATCGTGGCATCAAATAGTATGCTCAATCTATATGCAGATCTTGGATTGGAGTCTGAAGCCAGATTAGTTTTTGATCATTTGAAAGAGAAGGGTTGGGCAGACGGGGTTACATTTGCAACCATGATGTATCTTTACAAGAACATGGGCATGCTTGATGAAGCCATTGATATTGCTGAGGAGATGAAAGAATCAGGTTTACTGAGGGACTGTGTTTCATTTAAAAAGGTGATGGCATGCTATGCAACAAATGGGCAGTTAGTCGAGTGCGGGGAATTGTTGCATGAAATGGCGAGTCGGAAGATTTTGCCGGATGGTGGGACATTTAAAGTACTATTTACCGTATTGAGAAAGGGAGGCATTCCAAACGAAGCAGTAACACAGCTGGAATTATGTTACAAGGAAGGTAAACCTTTTGCCAGACAAGCTGTAATAACCTGTGTCTTCTCTGTAGTGGGCTTGCATGCTTTTGCGCTTGAATCCTGTGAAATCCTCACAAAAGCTGAAGTGGGGTTTGATACCTTTCCCTACAATGTTTTAATATATGCTTACGGGGCTTCGGGAGAAATCAACCAGGCTTTGAACGTTTTCATGAAAATGCAAGATGAGGGTCTAGAACCAGACCTTGTTACTTTCATTAATCTTGTAGGTTGTTATGGAAAAGCTGGCATGGTAGAAGGTGTGAAGCGCATTTACAGCCAATTGAAATATGGCGAGATTGAGCCGAATGAATCCTTGTTCAAGGCGATCATTGATGCCTATAAAAATAACAACAGACATGACCTTGCTGAAATGGTTAACCAAGAGAAGCGATTTGCTTTTGACACACAACATTATGCTGATTCTGAAATAGAAGATGATCCTGATGAAACTTCTACAGAATTCACAGACATGGTGTAGTTGAGGGGAGACGGACACTTTTTTTGTTCTTCAGGAAACGGGGAACCCTTCCAACCTGGTTAACTTTGGCACATGGTATTGTTGAAGTAACAAGCTCCTTACGTTGTTCAATGTACATAGCATATGTGTGCAGCATTCATGTTTGTGTTTTTATGAACTGTACAACTATCAACTGATGGATACATGTGACATAGTAGTTGCAGATTTTGGTGGAAGATGTAATACATTGGTGTGGAGAATACGCCATATGTATCTTTGAAAGCATATTGTAACCATGATTTTAATTTTTAAATAAAAGTGCACCTTATGGAAATGATGTACTATGCATAATTGAAGTTAATGTGTTTGAGGCCAGCATTGAAGCAATAAGTATGATTATGTTTTGTTATGGAGGATCAAACTAATTTACAGAAATATGTGCTTTCAATGATTGTATCAAGCTGTATCCTGATAAATTAATCTCAAAGTGCATATGCTGGTATCGTTATGACGCTGAAGTATTCCATTTGGTTATTCACCTTATTGTTACTGGATAAAGAACATGGGATTTTCATGTACATCATCTTATTTCATTATTTTCTTCCATTTTGTTTGCCTGCACTTCTGTATGTTTCCGGATGTGAGGATAAAGCACTCCACAGAATTACAGAAAGGATCAGGACAATCAAACTATAGCGCGTTTTGTTTGACAAGCTTATCCTTTCCTTGGACATTTTCCTAGCTGTCTTCATTCATAAAGGACAGTATGAGTTAGAGGAGTACTTGTTGGAAATTTAACCTTTTTAAATTTTTTCTCAGGCTAACTTGGGTGTTAGGTTGCTTTCTTCTAGTCAGTGGATGGATGTCTTCCATTCCAGAGAAAATTGTAACTTCACTCTTTCTCGCACTTATCATCTCTCTGTGGGACATGTTCCCTCTTCAACTCAGAGGCTTTATAGATAGGCCTTTAATTGAGAATGCTTTTGTGGTTTAAAGGTCCCACCTTACCCTTTCGGGGGGGGGGGGTGGAACAGTAACCGAGTCTAAGGAACTCTCAGAATAGAATTTAAGTACCACAGAGAAAGCTAGCTGGATAAAAAAGAAAGGGATTGCCTGCTCGACAATGCTACCTTGGGGAGGAGACAAAACGCTTCAACAAAAATGGAAACAAGACTTGAGCATCTGCAGAAAATTCTCAGAGTGGCAACAGGATTGATCTTATCTTCTAATATGTCTTGGCAACGAAAATAGATGTGTATTGATTTTTGCTTCCTTGGTTTTTGTATTTACATTTTCCATGTCACCTTCACAAATTTGGATCAATTTTTGGAAGTCTGCCATGGCCAAGCCATTGCCAGGCTACCTAAGTGAGAGAACTGTTTAATTGAGGCAATTCTTCAGCCAGTTACAATACCAAATCCCTCATATCTGGACCCAAGGTGCTCTTTGTTCAATCCAGCTCTTCCCAGGCATCTTCCTAACCCCTCTATCTTCCATTAGCTTCCTGATCTTGACAGCATCGTTCCACCGGCTAGATGCTCTATACACGTTCGCCAGCAGAACATAACTCAAATGGTAGTCAGGTTCCAATTCAATCATTTTCTTAGCAATGCGCTCTGCATCAATAGAATTTGCATTGGTAGCGCAAGCACCAAGAAGAGCTGCCCAGAGAGATGAATTGTCCCTAAAATCCGTATTCTCTATCAAATTTTCAGCTTCGTCTATCTGCCCAGCACGGCCTAGGAGATCAACCATGCAATTGTAATGCTCAATTCCAGCTTTAATCCTATATTCTTTAGTCATTGAGACGAAATATTCACGCCCTTGATCAACCATACCTGTATGGCTGCAGGCAAAAAGAACACCTATAAAACTAATGTAATCAGGTTCAATTCCTCCTTTAACCATATCATTGAACATCCTAAGAGTTTCTCCACCTCTTCCATTCTGAGCAAACCCGCAAATCATTGAGTTCCAAGTAATCAAATTTCTAACAGGCATCTGTATGAAAATTCTATGAGCAAAATCAATACAGCCGCATTTTGCATAAAGATCAACTAAAGCCGACTCTACGATGACATCTCTCCAACCACCCTTCCTCAAATACTGGCCGTGAACCTCTTTCCCCTGTCTTACAGCTGCTAAACCTGCACAGGCACGAAGAACAGTTCCAAAGCTATAGAGATCAACCTCCTCCATCCTCCTGAAAATCTCAACAACAGTTTCAAAATCACCCTTTTGACAGTATCCCCCAAGCAATGCACACCAAGAAACTGAATTCTTTTTGGTCATTCTGTCAAAGACTTGCCGAGATTCATCAACCAAACCGCATTTCCCATACATATCCACTAGGCTGCTTTCAACGACCACATTCCCACAAATCCCAGATGTAATGACCTTAGCATGCACTTGCCTACCTTGCTTCAGCCTTCCTAAATTCCCACAAGCTGTCAAGACTGTCCCAAATGTAAACCCATCCGGTGACAAGCCAAATTTTCTCTGCATCAGATAAAAGAATCCCAAAGCTTCCTCAAACAAATCATTCCTTGTGAACGCGGAAATAACAGTCGTCCAAGAAATAGAATCTGGTTCAAGCAACTCACCAAACAACCGGTGTGCATCATCCGACACATAATTCCTCCCATACATATCAATCAGAGCACTAGCAATGACATGATTCGATTCAAACCCACGCCTAAAAACAACTCCATGAAATCCACGGCCGAGATTTAATTCCCCAAGGTCCGAACAAGCCTTGATCACTGCAGATAGAGTGAAGGCATTTGGCTCAACCCCACAATCTATCATTTCCCAAAACAAATCAAGCGAATTCCTGGGTCTTCCCAAACGAACATAACCCGATATCATCGAAGTCCAAGATATAACATCTTTAGAAAAAAGACCATCAAACACTCTCCTCGTCTCCGAATAATTCATACCCAGTTTGAAGTAAACAGCAAGTAAACTGTTACCCACAAATCGGTCGGTCTCGAGACCAGATTTGACGACATGGGAATGAATTTGGAGTCCATGGTTAAAAGATTGAACTTTGATGCACGTTTGTAATAGAGAAGCATATATGATAGGTTTTACGGAGATTTCACCAGAATCTATGGAGTTCAGGAGCCGGAGAGCTTCGGATAGGAAGCCGGATTTGCAGTATTCGAGGATTTGGGATTGTTTGGCTGATGGGAAGTGAGGTATAAAAGAGCTGTAATGGCGTCTACACAAAATCTTCATAAAAATTTACAAGAGTAATGCATAAGTAATTTTGAAAATATAACGGTTCGGTATATGATGGCTTAGGGCGAGTTCAGAGTTCTGTTTGAGGCTAGAGTTTTGAATTCGCAAAAAGATGATTCACAACAACTTCAACCAAGCAAGAATGTTCCAGATCCAGCTTACGTAGAGTCTGAAACCCGCCTGGAAGCCCATTTCCACTCATATGGCTCTTTTGAGGATGACGACGATAATGGCCATGATGATGGATCATTGCGCTTAGTCTGGGTTTTAAACTTCCTATCCTTGTAGATTTTGTAGTTTGCAGTTGCAGAGAGAGAGAGAGAGAGAGAGAGAGACTAGGGCAATTGGGAGGCCGAAATGATTTGCCCTAAAAATGGATTTGCAGAGTTGAGAACGAGAATAGAGATGGAGGGTTTGGGAGGCTGAAATGATTTGCCCTAAAAATTTTTTTTTATTGTTACCCCATCTACAGTTAAAAAAAATGGGCCTAGAATAACATAGAACATCAAATTTTTGTTCCGTTCCAGCTTTGGGCCAAATAATAGATTTGTTTTGAAAGTGTTATGTTGAAAATAAAACAAATCGGCTAAACATGTTTTGTTATCAGAATGGTATACTGTAACGGGCATAAAGCATTACAAAACACATAAGAACACTACCCAAACAGGCCTTCAGTACCCGCATTATTGTAATGTTGGTTTTACTACAATCATCTTGAGAAACATGAAAATGACTAAGCTATTTGAGTATTCCAAATAAATACTCTATACTTATCTTTTAAACCCATTAAAAAAATTATGGATATCTCCTTTGTTCCCTAGGGTTAAACAACTTAAACACCACCTATGGGACAAGAAGACGACCTCAAGATAAGTCACAAGTCTCAACTCGAAGGTAAACACAAAAAACTGAGGTCAAAACGGACAAAATAAAAGGTTAGGGGTAAAATGGTCATTTTACCCATAAGTGACCATTTTACCCATAAGTGCTCGAGCACCGTTTAGTGTGCTCGAGCCTTATTCTATACTTAGCCAAATTTTGACTCAAAAAAAGTTCTTAAGCGTCTTTTTTTCCAACATTTAGAATATTTTTGCCAATTTTTAACATAGTACTTCATCCCTATCAAAGTGTGCTCGAGCACTATCAAAGTCAATTGCTCACAACCATGCAATCAATATACATATAAAAATCCCTAAAGTTTAGAACAATTAAACTATGGATCAAAAATTCTTGAGCAAAAAAATTATATATATTTAAAATATGTTATTATATTTTATGTTAAAGTGAGTTATTTTATGCTCCGTTCGGTAGGAAGGAAAAAAATTGAATGAAAGGGAGAGAAGAAATGATGATTGAGACATCTCTAGAGAAGAGATTAAACGTTTTCCTCTTTTTGTTAGGTTAGATAAAAGAGAATGGAAAAAATTGACAATTTAATTTGATCATAAAAGAAAAGATAAATTTTTAAGTTGTTTTTACCATTAAACTCATCCCGTACTTTATTTATGAGATTTATTAAATATTTACGAAATATGATCTAGTAATTTAAAACTTCTATGATAAGTTCACTTGTTTCTCTCTTATCTTCCAGAAAAAAGAAAAATTGTTAATATTTAATTTATCTAATAATTATGAAAGATAATATTTTAAATTTTTTATAACAATTTTGCCTCTCTTTCTTTCTCTTTCATATATTTAAAGGGATCAAAATGTGTAAACAAAGAAAGATAACTCATTTACCCTCTTCTCCTTTTTTCCTCTTGATTTTTTCTCTCTCAAGAAGTTATTTCTTCCTTCCTTCACATCTTCCCTCCTCTTTCTACCAAAAGGACCACTAGGCGACAAGAGGAAAGAGTGTGATGATGTATCTATGCTAAATTATAGATTGAAAATGCAATTTATAATGAAATATTACATATAAAAAAATTGACTTGATAATATATGTAAAGATGGATTTATTAATTCAAACCTATTTTAAGAATTTAACCATGTATTAAGATTAGTGTCACTTTACTAATTCAAATTAAAGTCAAAACCTTAACATGTTCGGTAGGAAGAAAAGAAGACACAAAATGAGGTCAAGTGTGATAGATGTGTCGTACCTGTCATAATAGCCAAAATGGGTCTATCAAACATTTAATGTCACACGCTGATTTATGTTCAACAAAAGTAGCCTACATGCGATACTAATTTAGGCCCTGTTTAATGTCCTATTACTTGCGCAAGTTTGTGGCTTTACATGTATATCCACCTCAAGCGGTTGGGGAGTTGTGATCCCCCAGTTGTCCTCAATATATTGGTCTGTCCATTACGATAGTTTCAATCATTTTCTTTCTTGGTGTAGAACGTAGATGGATCAAGAAAAATAAATAAATAAATGAGTCCCATTGCTAAATTCTAAGACTAATCAACAGTTAAGGTGCTTATTATCCACTTCAATTTTTGGAAGAGTCATGCCATTCCAATCGAAGTCCGCCAAGCATACACGCAGGAGTGTGTAGGGGTCACTTCGACTGTGATGTTGCGCAGATACCGTCCTTTTCGAAAACGAGGCTTTTAAAAAAAATTACAATCCGTTTTTTTTAGTCCGATATTATTCGATAGTCAAATTGATGGAGTGTTTAACTTTATAAATAAATGTGTCTGTATTCGAATTCACCTTTCTCTTATTTTTAAATCTAATACGACATGATTTTTTTTTTTTTTCAACAGATAACATTTTTGCCCTTCATTTGTATAAAAATTAGGAGTGACAATTCATATTTGTGGGTCATAATTATATTTGTTAATCTATTTAATAACTTATTTATCAAAATTAATATTATATTATTTAAAATATTTAATCAAACGATAAATACTACAAAAAATATATATATACACACATTAGCTAAGGAGTGAAGGTATATTTTTGTTATAATTTATGTTAAAATAATAGGATCTAAACTAGTAACAAGTTATACAATATTAATACAATTATGAAACTTTTAGTTAAACTGATATAAATGGGTTACACACGTTGAACCTATCAATCCTAACACAACACGATTAACTAAACAGGTTAATTGTGTCAATCCGTTTATAACCCAAATTAAATTAAGGTAAATCTAAATTTGTTTATACCATGTCAAGTCATGTTGATGGGTCGTGTCGAATTTTGTCACTCCTAATGAAAACGCTATCATTTCCTTATAAGAAAATCGGGATATTATTGACTTTAACATTCAGAATCACATTTTCGTAATTAAAAAATAAGTTTAATGAATATCAAAGTAATAATTAGGATTAAGTGCGCACACACAAAAAAAAAAAAAAAAAAAAAAAAAACCCTTGATATATAGGTTTTGTGCAGAAATAGTCCATACTTTTTGAAAATGTGCATTTCAGTTCATAAAATTCAAAAAAAAGTGCAAATAAGCCCCTCTGACCACTTTTTAGTCAAAATTGACATAGAATAAATTCAAAAACTCTATTCCAAAACCCTATTTTGCGGAGATATGGGGTTGAATTGAATGAACAGATTAAACATAGTGGTGGTGGTGGCCGAGCGTAGGAAAGAAGGGTAGAATAGGAAAAAAAAAAAAAAAAGAAGGCAAAATAGGGTTTTTGATTTTATTTTATGTCAATTTTGACCAAAAAGTGGTCAGAGGGTTTTATTTGCACATTTTTTGAATTTTATGGACTGAAATGCACCTTTTCAAAAAGTAAGTACTATTTCTATACAAACCCTATATATTAAGGGGTTTTTTTTGCACTTAACCCAGAAATTTATATTAGAGATGGTATTAATGTCTTTTCATGTGAACAAGGAAGTAATTGCACCAAATTAATGATATATGATGGTTTTATACCACACATGAACTGTTTTGTATTATATAAATAGTTGAAGGGAGTTTTTTACACTTAACCCTAATAATTATTGAAGAGCCTAATTTGTCTAAATATCTCGAAAAATCAGTATAATTTATTCTTATTTCAAGAGAAGCACCCAGGGAGGTAATTTTGTTGCAATTATTGATTACAAGTACTTAATGGCTAAGGCAAGCATATATGAATAAATGAAGGGGTATGGTTCAATAGTGTGACAAGTGAGGTCGGTAATGGGCCTCAATGTCTCACCTTCACAAGTAAATATCATTCATTCAATGGTCTGAACCCTGAGTCCTGACCACAACCAGCCCGCCAGACCATCATCAACTCCCAACCAACATTTTCATTCTCCCCCACTACGTTTAAAAGTCAAACGCACATCATCGGTCCAGGTGTACGGCCCAGATCTCATCACCATCACCACCAAAGCAGTTGCAATGTGTAACCCCCCAACGGTGTGAAACCGACCCGAAAGTTAAAATAAAACATCGAACGGGTCATCTAATCCAACGGTTCACTCTCAACAGACATGCTCGACCTTTAAACCACTCTCCCTCCTATTTATTACCGCCTAACTACAACATTCTCAACTTGAAAAACCACTCTCACAACGTAATGGTTTGCTTCTGTTTTCTGGTTGATCAGACGAGGAAGGTGAGGAGGAGCAAACCGGCGGCCGGAATCTGCTCGAGGTGCGGTGGTGGAGCTTCCGTCGCCGAGATGAAGACCGCCACCAGGTTCTGCTACGTGCCCTTTTACTGGAAGTCGTGGAGAGCTATTATGTGTACTTTTTGTGGAGCAATTATTAGGTCTTATGGTTAACTACTTTGGGACGATCAGATCGGAGTCCGATTTGGTTCTCTGTTTTCGACTAGGTTGTGAGTCGTGTGACTCGGGCGTTGCTATATTGTGGTTGTAATACTAATAAAAAATGTATTGCTTCAATTTTTGTAACCTTCTTGGGCTAATTTGATGTAAAGATATGCTAATTGCTACATTTTGCTGTCTATTTGGCTATTATATATACATATATATATTCTATTTCTTAGTCCACTCTGTTTAACTTTGCTGATAGATAGTTTTGGTACTTGTAATTAAAGAAATTAAACGGACAAAAAATGTAAAATGCCAAAGAATAAAGTGCTAGTTTTGTTTTAATTCTATTAAAACAGTTTTCACAGTCTGTTAGATTTGGAATTGGTACGAGCTTTTACCACATTAAATTTGAAATTGAAAAAATTTAGTTCAAAATTTAAATTAAAATTTTTTTAAAAAAAATTTCCAATATAGTATTAAATACTCCCAAACATGACTCAACAGAAATTAGAATTAAGGAAAGATTATCATTTGAAGTGAATCTTTTATTAAAACATATTCTTCCCAAAACTATCAACAGAACAAAATTTTGAGCTATATGTGTATATGTATTCTTTTTAGGCAATAGGGGCTTTAATATTAATTATTTAAATTCCTAAACATATATATATATATATATATATATATATATATATATATATATATTAAGGGAAACAATGCCATTGGCCTAATATAACCTTTCTGTTCTTGAAAAAAGATCAATGGGTGTATGACCTAGTAATACTTTCTTCTGTTCCAAAGTAGTTATTCAAGTCCTCAAATGAACAAAAGTGTGGTCGGTGTATAAATGTGTTTATTGTGTTAAAAAAAATAATAATAAAAAAATCCTCTAAAAAAGAGGAGGAGAGGGATTCGAGCAACACCGAACAAAAATGACTTCCAAACCTTCCCTTTGAGTAGCACATGTCATGCCACCTAAGCCAGTGGCCGGCTTCCTAATAAAGAAAAGTGGAGTATTACTTGAAGAAAACATTAAGGCATGTTTGATTCACTTATAAGATCAGTCCTTAAGAGTTTTTAAAATAGAGCTTTTTTTTTTGAGTTTTTATAAAACAGCTCTTAGAAATTGTCAGCAAATGAGCTTTTTGTACTGATTTTTAGTTTTCAGAAAGCAAGAAATCTGTTCATAACAAACTAAACCAAACATGCCCTAATATTTTATTTTCAATTTTCTGATAAGTTTGCATTAATTCAACTTAGAAAATTGTAAACATATACCTACTACGGAGTACTATCTTTTCTTCCTCGTGTTATCTAATTTTGGCAATGAAAATAGAAACATATGCATTGTGAATTTGTGAGGAGAATTAAAAACTAGTTAAAACACACATGGGTTGAGACTTGTGAATCGAACACCTAACCACCTCGTATATAATTGAAATTATTAATGAGTGTCAGTAGTTAGGTTGAATGATGAGGGTGGCGGTTCACATGTTGCAGATATGCCTTTGTCATGCATGAAACTGAATTAGTACTGTATTGTTGTTGTATATAATTAATGTGAAAAAAAATGACAGAACCTTATATAGCATTAAAGAGAGTTTGGCACAAGTGTACCAGCAAAAAGAACAGTCACCTTCCCTTCGCTAGCTTCTGACAATTAATTATACAGCTATTTTCATTGAATTGTGTTGGTGGGGGTAGGTCCTGGTTATGTTATAAAAATTCATCCGTTTTAAGGTATGGGTTGAGAGCATGAAGTAATGGACTTCCATTTCTTGTATAATTTATAAAGTTCATCTTCTTGTGAGATGGAGTATTTAATGCCAAGTAATAGAATCATTTATGGTTTGACCACAAATGGAAGTCTATTATTTGTTTGGAGCGCTGAATTTTCATTTATTCTGCATAGTTTATGTTGAAGCGAAATTTTGTAGTCCTATTTTGCATTAGTTCTCGATGATCAAGTCTATTTTCGGGATCTATACATTATCATTTAAAGATGCATTTTAATGACTTGGTGGTAACGGAGGCTTGGCATTGGCAGGGTGCTGGCTGGGTACCCTCGACGATTAAGTCTATTTTCGGGATCTGTACATTATGTATGGTGATATTTAAGAAAATATCTTTATTTAAACTTGTTTTGATTACTCCTTTTTTTACCTTATCAGTTTGGTTTAGTGAAGTGTTGATTATTTGATCATACTAAAAAAAATTAAAAAATACTAGGCTCAGAGATTTATATCTTGATTTGGTAATTCTGAAATTGATATTGAATCCTAGTTTGTGTCTTTAGCACTATAGCATACATCATTTTATGTTTTTATTTATTTATTTTTCAAACAATAAAATTAATTTTATTCATCCAAAAAACGAGTCTACATCAATTATTGGCTAGGCCGTCCTTTTATTTACTGAAAAATTGTCCCTACCATAATCAAAGTCGAAATAAATTTATAAAGGTAAGAGTTGTCAGGCCAATTAAAATGTTTACCCAACCTTCCTTCAAACCATTAGTACAGCTGAAGCATTGATATCTTAATGAATGACAATCGGAACAATGTACCAAAGAGGTTAGATCTATGAGCATTGATATCTTGTATGACAACCACACTAACATACTTCTACGACCACAACAACAGAATGCTCCCCACTGAAGCCCGTGAGTCCGTGAGCCGAGGCAAATTTCAGTCTCAGAACAGCCGCTTCGAAAAATATCAGAAGTTTATCTCTGAGTCATTTCTCTCCAAAATGTCGTAGTTTTGTATAGTCTGATTATGTGAAAGATTTTTAAGAAAATTTAATTATATGAAACTTTAAAATTATTGAATTTTAGAAAAAACTCAGTTTCCTGATCTGTTTTAACTTTCTTATTAGTTTTAGATTTTACAAAAAATAATTTCTGTAGGACAAATTATTTGGGTCTATATATATATCAACTCTAATTAGATTTTAAGGAGTGGTAAAAATAAAGAGAAGAAGAAAGAGAGAATCATCATACGTGTTGTGTAATTGATTAATTTATGCCAATACAAGAGTGATCAATTGAGAAAAAATATTCCATTATAATTCTTCATCTTCTTCATAGTAAATTTGATCGGTGTGTTTCATGAATGTAACATTAAGATTTGGGTGAATCATGTATATTTTGTGTTCTTGTGTATGATTTTTTTTATTCTTTGTGATTGTTTGTGATTATTCCTTGAACAACATTGTTATTTGCGTTTTTGCCATATCAACTGGTATCAAATCCGGTTGATTGTGTCGAACAACTCCAACAACTAGTATCAGAGCCTTTGGTCGAGAACCTAGGGCACAGAAGGTGTTTGACAAAATTTCGAAAATCTTTCGATCATATCTGTCCATTCGAGTGGAAGTAATGGTATCAGAAGATAAGACATCCACATCTATGATCGAGAAGTTCGATGGTACAAACTTCGGTTTCTGGAAGATGCAAATTGAAAACCTCTTGTTTCAAAAAAACCTGTATTAATCTTTGGGAGAGAAGCCAGAGGAACAAAGAATGCAAAATGGGAATTACTTGATAGGAAGGCTCTTGGCACCTTTAGATTGACGTCGTCAAAATCAGTCGCCTTTAATATCAAGAACGAGAAGATGACGAAGTCTTTTATGGCAGTCCTTGTTAGTGTGTATGAACAGCCTTTTGCTGCGAACAAGGTGCACTTGATCAAGAAGTTGTTCAACATGAAGATGGTCGAAGGTGGTAAGTTTAACGAACATCTAAATGCGTTTAACGATATAGTTAGGCAATTATAGTCTGTTGATATCAACATTAAAGGGCACTGCTAATTCTAAGACAGTTACTCGAGAGTTAGAGTGGAATAGTTATAACGATCAGTAGCTCTGCAGGGAAGACCAGGTTGAAGTTTGATGAAGTTGTGAGCAAGATTCTGATTGAAGAAATCAGAAGGCAAACAACAAGGGTTTCCACTAGTGGTTCGGCATTAAATGTTTAAAGCAGAGGTAATAGTTCAAACAAGAAGAAGGGCAACGGTAATATAAACAGAGGCAGATTTAAGTCAAGGAATGGAAGGACATAGTCTCAAAATTTCAGAAATTTCCCAGATCTCAATGATGTTGAGTGTTGGAATTGTGGAAAGAAGGGACATTATCGTGTTGATTGCAGACTTCCAAAGAAGAGAACCGAAAGAAAACTGAAGCAAACATTGTCTCAGAAGAATCAGATGATGCATTGATATGCTCTTTAGAGAGCAAGGCGAAGTCATGGGTTTTAGTTTCCGGCGCATCGTTTCATGGCACCTTGTAATACCCCTGATTTTAAAAGGATAGTCTCGGTATTTTTTAAAAAAAAAAATTATTTTAATTACATTTAATTATTTAGTTGATTTCTTGGCTAATTGTTTACTTGTTTAATTGATTTAATTATTTGTTAAATGTGTTAATTGATTTAATTATTTAAATGAAATTGTGTGTGATGATATGTATTTATTTAGGAATTTAATTGTTTTATTTTATTTTTATTTTAATATTTTTAGGAATTGGATATGGATAGTAGTAATGGACCAACTAATTGGGCTCCATGGACTACTTGGATAAGGGGTTTAATGGGTACGGATAATTACCCATGTATATGTATATTTAATAAATAAATAAATATATATATATATATAAGGAAAGTCATATATATTTATATATTACATATAAAAAGGATTACACATAGATTATACGTACCATATATTTTAGTTACCTTTTTAGTATTTAGATTTTATTTTATTTTTTATTATTAGTTTGGCTTGGATTGGGAAAAGGATTAGTGTTATTTTATTTGACTATAAATATATAATTATAGGGTTGTGAAAGAGGTTAGAAAATATATTACGTACTATATTTTAGAGAGAGAAAGAAGGAAGAGGAAGGAAGAGAAAAGGAAGAAGGAGGTTAGGGTTTTTATCTAATCCCTAAAGGCAAGTTTTAATTCTTCTCTTCTCCTTTGATTCGTACTCTATGCATGCTAGATTAATTATAAGTTCTTTGAATAAATTAAATTAGAATTATTTTATTCTATTTTTACATGAATTGTTGCTAGTACGGATAGTTTAATAGTTAATGGATGAAAAAAATATATATATATAATAAAATAGGTTCATGATGTACACGCCGAACGAGGAAAGTATTTTATATAAATCAACATAAACCAAA